AAAACGGGGAGAGGCCGAGTATCCTGCCGCCAATTCTGGCATGCGCCATGGCAGTATTTTACATGCACACGGAGAAGGACCGGACCGCACGGCATCAAGAAGATGCACTGCGTCAAGCACATAGGCGTAATAATCCACCTTATCATAATCCTTCGGCACGCGATGGAATGCGGGCATTTGTCAGAAGCGAGGAGATTCAAACGCCATATGTACCGTTTGTGGCATCGCGGGAAAATCGAGAGAGGACGCGTGAAGTGTACGAGCCTCCGGCTAAGTTTGTTACTCTCAAACAGCACCTCATTTTCATGTGGAACTACTTCCGAACTCGTTTTTTTCTGGATCTCAACTTTGAACTCACAGTGCTCGTTGCGAGTCTCGGTCTTGCCCTTACGCCGGATCGTGTTACGGGGCTTGTCTTTTTTGTTGAGCTTCTTCTAATGTGGTTGATTGGACGTGTGCGAAGTACAATAGAGATACGCTACGCCGTGCTCCAAGAGTCCCTCATTGTGATTGTTCTCGGCGGATTATACTTTATTCGTCTAGGACTGCCGAAGGGGCTGGTGGGCGTCTCCATCCTACACCCAGAGGAGTGCAATGCATGGGACCATTATTGTGGCTGCGGCCTTCCGCTGCATCACTTTGTCCTCATGTTTGCACTTGTGGTGATGCGGCGCTGCATGCGGCAAAATGTGGCCAAGGTACGCGCAACGATTTTGTGTGTGGAGGGTGCTTTTGAGCTCGGTGAGCTTCTCCGCAGGAAGGAAAAAGAAGTGGAGGACTGTCGAAGGCTCCTCCGCTCAGATATTGAAAGCGTTCTACCTGCTCCATCGCGCGATATTATACGGAACCCAAGGACGCTGTTTGATCTCCTTATCGCCGTGTCGTGTGCATGTTTACCAGCTGCAGTATTTGCCTTTGTACAGGGCGTCTTGATGGCGTCACTGCTGGGGGTCGTAGAAATTGCGGCATCCCTCTGGATCCTGGCATTCAAGCGTTATCTCGCGTGGCGTTGGCATAAAGTTTGGCCGTTTTTCATATTGTTTCTTTTTTTGACTTTTGTCCCTCAGTTGGTGGCTCGTCTTCCGCTGTCACCTCCGCTAACGACCCACGCGGAGAATTTGATGCTTGCGCTCGGCTTTAGTCCCTGGACACGTGGGACCACGGTGGGACAGGCGATGGTGCTCTTTTCGGCTGTGGTGCAGCAACGCATCTTTAGTGAGTTTTTCTTTGCGGCATATCTTATTGGGCTATGCAGGGGCTCACTGGCCGCTGTAGAGCGGAATAGGGAAATGCTGGAATATTTCCGTAGGAAAGACGAGGAGCTGCAGTGTCAAGTAGTCAAGGAGGAGGAAGCATTGAAAAGAAGGCTCGAACAGCTTTTCTCCGAGCGGAACATGTGTGCGTGCCAAGATGAAATCGAAATTGGGGCTTTGATGCCACCGCAGAGAGTGAACGAGAAGGAAACGAGGGAGGAAAGGGAATTCTCAAGTGGAGTGGCACCGCATTCTCCTATGATGGGTTCGGTTTCGAAGGTTCCGTTGAGTGTTTCTGCGCAGTCGGACACTTATTTCAGTGTCTTGGATTCCCCAAAGCAACTGACGAAAGCAGGGGCGGCCGTTGACTGCCCTGCCGCAACGTTTGACGGGAGGTTGAGTGGCGTTTGCTCAGAAGAACATGTCCCCCCTGCACGGGAAGACGACAGGAAAGGAGGGATATGCAGTAAAATATCGAATGCGATTGAATGTTGGTCGGAGCAACTTGTGCAATATTTTACCTTCCGCACTTATCGTGGAAAGGCGCCTCCACGGACGTATTCTCAGGGGTACCGTGTACTCTTTGCATTTACGCAATTTCTTTTGCGGAAATATGCCTATGTGTGCTATTTCCTATTTATGCTTAACTATGCGCTTAGCGGAACTATAGTGGATATGGTTCTCTCCCTCTCCGCCGCACTCTACGGGATGCTTATTTTGCCATGGTCAGGGAAAATTTACTGGAGAAACGCTCTTATTTACAATGTTTTCTCCATTCTTGTCAAGTGTGTCATACAACTTATCGTTAAATGGTTTGCCATGAATCAAATGGCATTGAAAATTGTTTCTGCGTGTGTGCTGGACATTGGCCTGGACCGGACCGAACCGTCCTTTTCTGCCATGAATTTGGACATTATTATGGACTTTGTTCTCTTTGTCAGCATCATTATACATCGTCAGTTTTGTTTTGATTACGGCGTTTTTGCTAAGGAGCACGAGGAGCCATTCATACCGCATCGGATGGAAACGGAAAAGGGGGAAGTCCACAGAAAAGAAAAACATCACCGCAACGAGGAGAGCACGGCGGGCCGACGTGAATTGCCCGAGGAGGATATGGATAGAATTGATGTTCAGTGTGTTGTGGGTGTTGCAAATGAAGGAAGACCGTCACGGCAGGAACCATTGTCAGCATCATCATCATCATCATCATCATCCACTCTGGAGTTGCTGGCGAATAAGCATGACGATAATAACGTCACTAATAGCAAACATGATGGAATTGGTGAGTACAACAACTCAATGCGTCAAAAATGGCAAAAGAGAGTCTTCAAAAAAGGTGGAGTGTTGCAAAAATACTGGAGCAACATATGTGAACGCTATGGTACTGGATCAGACTACTACACCCTTCAGTTCTGGGCGGACGGTCTCTCTCTTATCGTCTTTACCGTGGTTTACTTTCTTTTGGCGGGTGATTTCCGCGGCAGTATTCTTTACAGCGTACAGCAAGATCTTCTTCCCTGGCAATTGGTACTCATTCTCTTTGCAGGGGTCATTTTAATGGCGGCTGAGCGTATCGTATATGTGTTACATTCCGTCCAGCTCAAGTTTGTCCTTCATGTAGTTACGATATTGGCGTACCATGCTATCTTCATGCTGTGGCGCCTCACACTCGCCCATCGGTCGACCACGGTTGCTGTCATTATTCTTTTGATGAGGTTTTTTTCTGGGAGTGTGAGTGCATTACAATTGCAGAAGGGGTATCCGCTTCACCGAAAGCATGATCCTTTCACGACACACACGGACATTTTTCATTGGCTAGGACATGTTGTGTATCGCGCCATACCATTTCTTTTTGAGCTGCGGCTTTTACTTGACTGGTCGGTCTCTTGCACGGCGCTAAAGTTGCAGGATTGGATGCTTCTTGAAGATGTGCATCACACCGTGTACATGCGCTACGTGGATATCAATGACTTGGCGTGGACAAGCCCAAGGAAGGGACGGCAATTTCCCTTCTTTGTGAGAATGTACCAAGGAATTGTCGGTTTTGCCGCATGCCTTCTCGTCCTGTTTTTTCCTCTCATGTTATACTCCACCTTTAACCCAAACGTCGGTGTAAATCTTGTGGCGTCATGGCAGACAAAAATTGCCTTTGGCACTACATCAAACTTTTACACAGCCACAGCCACCGAGGTTTCCGTCTCACAAAATTTGGTTTCCATTCTCTGGGACCTGTTGCCATCCCTGCAGCACGATGAATTTGGCTCTCAGGGCTTACTGCAGTTGCTAATGTTTCCAAGGTGCAGTGCGGAGGTGTGGAGCGCCACGCCAGAAACACGGCTGTTGCTGTTAAGTCAACTTAACGCGGCCGTGAATAATGAAACAACTTTTTTTATACATAAAGAGGATCATGTTGTGCGCATGGAAGTGTCAGCACCAGCGACACGAAGGGTTTGTAGCTATCAGCGATACATGGTTCCTTGGAGCACCGTGGTGAGGCTACGGGATGCTCTGGAGGGGGCGCATCTTTGGTATACATCTCGGCATTTGGAAAAACATCAGGGAGGAGTTCACTCTGCTTCCACGCTGGTGTACGAAAGTGGCGATTGGATTCCGCTACCACAGTTTTATAGTCCTTTTGTGAATAACATACAAAACGATTTGGTAATGAAAAACTACGTGCGGACAGATTGTGCGGTTCAGCTGAATGGCGTTGGAAACAGTGATGGCAAGACTCCCCCGGTATTGTATTGGTGTGTTCGTTGTAACTCCTTTGCTAATCTGACCGACGGCTCAACCACCAGGACATGGAGTATGAATGGCGCGAATGAACCTCTGGACATGGCCGATAGTGATAATGATAATGTGGAAGTAATGCAAAGTAAGGAGACGCTGGAGTCGGGCACCGATGCGGGCAATATTACCAGTATTTTTGAGATTGTGGCCTCATCATATGTTGCACTCAATCCCTCCCTTGTTTTTTTGCCGAACATGGGAATCATTGCACTATACACAACGTTCATTTTGGCGATTGGGACCTTTTTACGTAACACCGTCATGGACCGCGCACATCGTGTGGTGTTGATGCAAGTGGCAAACCCGGACCCCATTGCCGAGTTGCTTCGGTATATTTACATGGCACGTTCCTCAGCAATTAATGGGTACGTGGACGGTCTTTTACTGGAGCAGCAACTTTTTTTTGAACTTGTAGATATGCTTCGCTCACCCGAGCGTGTCTTGGCTCTCAGTGGCCGCCGCGTGGATGACTACGACAACTGTGGCAGGTTTTGTAAGTACCTGAAGAAGTCGAGTTACCACCCGTTTTGAGAGAGAGAAAAAAAAAAAAAAAGATAGAAATCATGTTTTTTTATGGCGCTGTATATATATCATTCTGTTTGTGGACCGTCCTCTCTTTACTTTTTTTCTTTTCAATTATTCACACTAACATCCTCCATTCTTGATCGTTTTTTTTTGTTGTTGTTGTTAAGTCCAAACGAGTGTTATTATTCCTTTTTACATTCGCTGTGAGAGGGTTTCGGTCCTCCCCTTCTGGCGAGGGCCCTTCTCGCGTGAACCGTCTGTCGGGTCTCATGTGCTTTGTTTACTTTCGTCTTTTTTTGTTCTTCTATTTTGGGTGCATGTTTCCTCCGGCCCGCGCGTTCGTTCGAGGCGCACGCACACACAGAGAGAGAGAGAGAGAGAGGTAGAGAAAGAAAGAAATAAAGGGAGAAGGTACTCGCTAGTGCCAACATGTCATCCCGAGGGCAGCCACGGTACCGCTACGTACCGGTGGAACTCACGCACATTGAACATGCAGGCGACAACAGTGGAGCGAGCCTCAGTTTTTCCGATAATCTACAGAAGTGGCAGGCATTTGGCCTCAACACGAGTGCCATTTGTGGGTCCTCATCAGCCGCTCTGCCTCTTCAGAGCGCCGCACGATGTGTGCATCACCACCTGGTGGAGGACGCGGAGGGGGAAGAGAATGAGGGAAGTGTTGGGGCTGCCGTGGAAAAGGATGGTGGGACGCAAAAGGAACAGAAAAATATGGATGGAGGTTCTGTATCCGCCATCCATAGGCAGCTGCTGGAGTTGTCGTCACGTGTTGGGCAGGTAGCGACGGAATCCAAATGCTTGCCCCCCGCACAAAGAGAAAAGCGTGGCAAAAGTAGCAACGGCAGCAAGAAAAAAAATTCTGCAAGTGGGAGTGGTGGTGCGGCTTCCGCTTCCGAAGGAAAACATTCCAGAGAATATGGAGATGAGTTGGAAGAAAAACGTGCACTTAAGCGGAGTGCCGCGTCCGGTCACAACGGCGTCTTCACCGAAGTGGAAACTAGTGGCGTGCACCTGCGAGAAGAGAGGGGAGGAGAGAAGAAGAAGAAGAAGAATGAGAAGCCAAACGCCCGAAGATCTCGTGCCTCAGATGTTCAAAAAAATGCGTCTAAATTGCCACAGCGACAAGCATTGTTTACGATGCCTCCTGCTCCGGAGCCAAATTCAAGGCCGGCCGAGTTAGTGGCTTTCAAGGAGGTAGACGATAGCACGTCACTTTTTGAGGATTTGCAGAAGACACTGGGGGATCCGGATCTCATTCAAGCCCCGACACTTTTTGTGGCCTTTATCGTACATGAAGGAGAGACAAACTTCTCCATTTCCGCAAAGACACATGGGAAAGTTCACTTTGTGCGGAAGACCAACCCGGAGATGAGTCATCTATCAGTACAATTCTTTGTCCTTCGCTGGAAAGATGATGTGTTCGTTCTGCATGCTTCCACTGCTCTTTCTTTTCTGGTGCGTGTCCTGGAAGAACTTTCTGGTGTTGAAATAGTGACGTTTAATGCCCCGTCACTGCTACTCCTACTTCTCTCCTACAAGCAGGGGAATCTTTTTACCTTGTGCGTCTCAGACATTCGTCTCATGTCGTGGATGCTGCAGCCCTCGGCGGGCGCGGATGCATTCACCGACTATGACGTTTTGCTTCAGTCTTGTCAGCAGCAAATTGGTCTTGCCGCGGGATTCAGAAACATGGAGAATTGCACTGTGAAGGAAATCGTTTGCCACCGGGTGTATTACATGGCACCTCTGTACCGTTTACTTTACGGTCAACTTGGCACACAGGGCCTTCTGCCGGCATTCCTTAAACAAGAAAAGCGCATCTCACTTCTCTGCGCCGCAATGAAACTGAATGGCTTTCCTGTCAAATTGTCGGAGGTGGAAGGATTCAAGACGCGTTGCATCGCCAGGATGGAGGAGCTCCGCATTGCCGCCCAGAAGCTGGTTCCATCAATGCCAGAGTTTAATATGCAGAACCTGGAGGAGTGCAGGATGGCAATTTACGAGGTTCTTCAACTAGGCACACACCTGACCCATGCTAGGAACGATGGAACGGACAGTTGCTCCCTCACCGTTACAAAAAGTGGGAAACTCTCAACATCGGAGGAAACACTGAAGCTTTTGGCACCACACCATGAGCTGCCACGCCTGCTGATTGCATACCGTAAAACGGCGAAGCTGCTTCAAACATACACAGTGGGCATGATGGAAACGGCTTTTCCTTTCAAAGGCAATGACAGTGAGTTTACAGACAATCGCATTGGGGAGTGCAGTGACAAAAAGGACGATACTCCCGTCAAGTGGGTCACATTACATCCAAACTTTGTTCAAGAGGGCACTGACACGGGACGGCTCTCATGTGTGGAGCCAAACCTACAGAATCTTCCACGTTCCAAGGTAATTGCCGACAATGATAACAGTGAACCATACGAAGCCGAAATGGCCACTTTTCGCCGTTGTTTTGCTGTGCCTATAGGGTTGACGTTGTTGTCTGTGGATTATGAACAGATTGAGTTGCGAGTTGTGGCGCATTTGTCTGCAGACACAGCACTTGTCGATGCGATGACGAATGCAACGGATGTTCACCGTAACATTGCTGAGAACATCTTCCGGAAGTCACCTGTAAGCGTTGAGGAACGAACACTCGCAAAGCGGGTTGTCTTTGGCATGCTGTACGGCGCTGGACCTCGAACGCTAGCGACGCAAATGGGAGTGCCTATGGAACGGGCACTACATGTGATGTCACTCTTCAAGGCCTCTTACCCACAGATTGAACGATATCAACGCCGCGTGATTGATCAGTGTCGTACCGATGGCTTTGTGCGCACGATGACTGGCCGTATCCGCTCACTCCCTGACATCAATGACCGAGTCATGGCAAAGCGAATGTATGCGGAAAGACAGGCGTTCAATTCCGTTATTCAAGGAAGCGCTGCGGATGTCATGAAGCTTGGGATGCTGGCCGTGGAACGTGATGTATTGCAGTTGTACAACGGAGACGTGCGCCTTTTGGCGCAGATTCACGACGAGATTGTTCTCTCTGTCCCAACGCACAAGCTGCGAGAGGTGGTGCCACTCGTGTCACGGAGCATGATGCACGCCGTCTCATTGCTCGTTCCGCTCCGTGTGACTGTGAGGATTGGACAATCACTTGGAGAACTGGAGGACTGGACGGTGGATCATGAACTGGGCATCCGCTAGCCAGTAATCTCTTTGCCTTCACTATTTATTTAGTTATTTCACCCTTTGCTTCTTGTTGGGATTATCTTGTTCTGTTTGTTGTTGTTGTTGTTTTTTCTTTGCTGCTTCCTTTTTTAACCCACAGATTATTATTCTCGCGAGGAGCGACGACAGATATTCATTGTTATTGACGTGTACGATAGCCGTTTTTGTTTTTTAGTACTTTGCGCGTGTGTGAATGTGAATGTGTGTTGCCCTTTGTTTTGTTCCTCTCACACATTTGTTTGCCCGCCACATACCCTGCTGGCTTTTTCTTATCGCGTACCACCATTGTTTTCTTGCCTGTGGCGTTGTACTTTGCCCTTCTGACATTATTATTTTTTTTTTTTCTTTGAAGATGAGCGCCCGTGATGAACTGATAGGGAGGCTTAAGGTGGCGCTGGCTGAGATTCAGCAGCGCGATTCCTACTCCTCTAATGCCTCGCTTGACAGTGAGCTTCTTGGGGTGGTTGCCGATTACATTGAGCAGGGTATGGAAAGGGAGACGGCTTTGCAGCGTTTACGTGGGGCTCTGCTGCGGTCAGAGGTAGCGTTAGGAGGGTTTGCCCCCGCGGTGGAAGAAGGCGGAGATGAAGGACCGAGAGAGGCAGCGTCCTTGGGAGTGTCCGCTGAGGAGATGGGACGACGGCGTGCCGAGCGCCTTCTTGCACAGGCGCTTACTTTGCGCTTTCGTTAATGCTTCGTGTTGTAGAACCCAATTCCCCACGTCTCTTTCGTTTTTTTTTTAATTACCCCTGCACGTATCTCTTTTTCCGGCTCCCTTGTGTACACGCGCCCCATGATCAACCTATGTCTGCGGATGTATGTGTGTGTGTGTGTCGACGAGGGGGGAAGGGTGATCGATAATGCACGCCACTGTTTTTATTGACACCTTGTGTGGGTTTAACGCCTCACCTTTTTGTTTTTGTTTCTTTTTTTTGTTTTGTTTCATAGAAGCCTGAAATGGTGGTGAGTGTTCACAAACACGACCGTGTGCGGTGGGCGTGGCACGTGCTTGGAATAGATACAAACCCCTCCTATGACGACATCCGTGCTGCGTACTGCAGGCTCGCTGTCACGACTCACCCGGACCGCTGCACCGATCCAAGCGCAAAGGAGAAATTTCAGATGTTGCACGCCGCGTATGAGACGGCGCTAAAGAATAATGCGGAGGCCAAAGAGAAGAAACGTCGCACGAAAAGTGGTGAGGTGTCAGACTTTGACTGGCGAGCGGAGGTGGCGCGTGTGCGGGCGGCGTATAGCAGCACGTTTAAATGCCCGCGTGCCTCTGATGCGTCGAGGACGCCGTGGCAGAACGCGAACCCAAATCCGTCGTGCAGCGTGCCGCAACGAACAAACAAGAGGCGTTGTGCCGATCAGAAACCCCAAGCAGGGGCGCACATGGTTGAGGTGAGGCGGGCGACTGCCGCGAGGGGCGGGGCATCCGGGTCATCATCGGGACAAGAAGAAGAGGAGCGTCGTCTGCAAGCCATTAGGGTGCGTCGCCGCGGTTATTTGTCTCCTTCACTGAATTTAATGCGCCGCATCGTGACACGAGAGGCATCCCGGCGACATGCCATAGTGCGACTTGAGCAGAAGGAGCTGCGGTGTATTTATTTAAGTAGTCTGGAGGAAAGGATTCGGCGTGCTATAGAAAACTGGGCAGACGCCTTCTGGGTGGATATGAGCGAGCAGTGGACCGAGCTTATTTCTTTTACCACTTGCTCACACAATAGAAGTGTATGAAGACGGGAATGGAAGCTTTTGTTTGGTCATATGTAAACAGGAGGAGGGCTTTTTGCACTCTGTCGATGTTCATTTGTCTTTAGCTTTGAATTGTTTTACCCACACCCTACTTTTTTTTTTTCTTGTGGTTTATCTTTTCCCCTGTATGCAAAAAGACGTTTGTTTTTATGTGCGTAGTTGTTGTTGTTTTTTCTTGTGTGTATGTGCGTGTGTGCGATCCTGTGAAATTTTTTTTTGCCACGGATGTTTTCTTGATTGATGGGGACTGACGGAACGCGGGGTGGCCGTGTCCTTCTTTTAATTGCTCCCAAAGCATGGACCCACATGCCTGCTGTTTAATCAATACGCATCGTTTTGTGAAAATTGTTAGTGTCAGTCCTTGCTTTTCTCAAACGGAAGACTAAAAAGAGAAGGGAGGAAAAAGTTCGTGAATGCATACGTAGCTGTTTATATAGAACCCTTCTTACCGCATATATATATATGCGTTTTTTTCCTATTCTTGAATCTCCTTTTCTTCAAGTGTTTTTGTCTTCTTGGCTGGTTAGATTCTTTACTGCGCCCACTTGGTAACCTTATATGTGGTGTGTGTGCATTCGTCTTGATGCTTTCTTCCTGTTAATTATTATCGGTGATGTATGACGTCTCCTTTTTCTTCGTTCTTGTTGTTTTCTTTTTCATTGTGTGCGGATGTAAATTGCGAGTCATGGGCTGGAGAGTCTCTTGTGAATGGTATGGGAGTGGGTCTTTCGCTGGCTAAAGCCTCGCAGTGGCGTAGAGGATAAGAAGACATCTGAGGAAATTTTGGCGTATGAAACTCTGAGGAAAGCGCAGACGGAGCTGAAACGTCTTGAAAGTGACATTGAGACCAACACGGAAACACTCCGTCAGTGTGAGGAAGCACTGGATTCCCTCTTTCACAAGGAGTTGCAGCTGCGGGAAGGGTTAGAAGGAATCCTTATGGAGATGCATGATCATACTTCAGTGGATTTAGAGAACACGATCGGAAATAATAGCGACGGCATCGCGTCTCTCCAACAGATCCTTATGCATATCCAGCGGAAGAGGGGAAAACTACACGACCAGGGATATCGGCTTCATATCAAACTGCAGTGCCTGAAGGCGGAGAAAAAGGGTGTTGTCAAATCGACAAATATGCTGCTGTCGCGTTTATTGGGGAACGGTTTGGCAGTTCAAAATGGAATGGGTGAGGAGGACGGAAAGGAGGGGGAACAGGGTGACGATGACGATGGCAGCTGGAGAGCCGTGGTTCACTCGCCCCCAGTCTCGGTGAGCTTTATTGAGGAATACAGAGAGAAAGAGGGCTCGTAAAGAAGCAAGGAGGAAAAGCGTCTCACGATGTATTCCTGTCGCGCGTTCTTTGTTTTCAACTTGTTGTCTTTTTTTTTCCACATCATTCAGCGTTGCTTGTTGTCGTTGTTATTATTTGCTTGTTCGATGCGGAAAGGAGGATTTTATTCTGCGGATGAGGGTGTCACTTGTGGCACTTCGCTTTTTTTCGTCTTGTTTGTGTGGAACCTTTTATTTTTCCTTTGCGGAAGTGTGTGTGTGTGTGTACTCTCCATTATTTGTTTTTGTTTTTGTTTCTTTGCTGGCACGCATAATAACTTGGGAAGGAGTGTGGGAAAAGGGAGGAGTATTCACATGCCTCAAGAAGAAGGGGATTTTGATGGCGTCAATCCCGACGTGCAGGCTCGCCTCGTCGATCTCATCATCTTCAGTGACCAGGCAAGGCGCCGCATCGCCGAGCTGGAGTCCACCGTGGAAACTTTGGAGCAAACTTTGTCGGAACTTCGTAGGAACGACACTCACTCGGCAGCCACACTGCGTCGTCCACTGTCAGCACCGCTAATTGACCAGCCATTCAAGGAGAACGGCCTGCAGGATATATGCAGCTGGAACGAGCAGCTTGTAGAGACTGTAAATGCCCTGCGGGGTGCCATGCTGAAGATGGAGACCGAAGCGAAAGTGCAGATCGTGGTGCTCAAGGACGAGGTGGAACGGCTACGTCGGGAGAGTGATTCCCTACGCCGTGAGAACGACGCGCTGAAAGAGCGGGTGGCAGATGACGTGCTGCGACAGCGACAGACAAATCGCGTGGAGATGGCGGTTGAGAAGGCTAAAATTGCTTCAAGAGTCCGTGCGGCAGGTTTGCGCCGTTTGGAGTTTATGGAAGCTGTGCTAATGGAGGCCCATGATGATCTGTACTTTGCTCAGAGGTTTGACGCGGCGAAACTGCCTGTTCGAGATGTGACATTTGTCATTCATGCTGTACCGAATGTGCCCACTCAACACCTGAGCGCAGAGGAATTTACAATGACAATCTATCAGAATTTTTTGTTGGAGGTTGCAAAGAAGTACGGCGGATACCACGTGTGTGGCCTGAGGGAGATTGAAGTTTTTGCTTTTTACAGTGCCACAGCTGCCCTTCATTTCTCAAGTGAGTGCCACGTTGGGGTGAAAAATCTCCCATGGCCAGCACGCACCACCGATATTCCGTTTTTTGCGCCCGTGATTGATGACGGAGAGCTTCTTTACAGCGGTCCTCGCATGCATACTTGCATGTATACGTGTAATCCGGGATCGGAAGTGGACCCCATCAATGGTCGTTCAGTGTACTACGGTCAAGAGGTGAAAGACGCTCTAACAACGGCGCTTCAAGGGTCTCCCATTGGCGAAATAGTGGTGAATAAGGCGTGTGTGATCATGTTGTTCAAGGAAGCGAGCATTATGAATGACGTTCACGATGATTTTTTTCTGGAAATGAGCCGTGTGCGTGCCAAATTGGGCGCGGGATGGAGCATCATTGCGTCAGAGCGAACTGTCGGGAATCTGTTTTGTTCTATTCTCCCCAAATCACTTGAACGCCGCCGCGGAATACCGCCGTATTATCTTCATCCTTCCCCACGATTCCCACGCGGCAATATTGATGTGGATACACTGCTTCCACAATTAATTGCCTCCATGAAAGGTGTAACACGTCCGTGTCAAGGCGGAACTCAACAAAAACCACAGGCACAGCTGCAAATACAGTCACAGTCACAGCAGCTGCTGCTGCACCATGATGGATGGGTCGATGGTATCTACCGTAGCAGAAAGCGTGCAGCTGAAAAACGCGACTCTAATTCTGAGGATGTCGTTTCACTTTATTTGCTACGGCGGGATAGGAAAAACATCATAAGTCTTTACAATAAACTGGAAGCGGTGAGCGCCTTTCACGAACAGACGTTGATGGAGGCAGAGGATTGGTATCTTGCCCGATTCCAGTCTATTGATCCAAGTGAAACGGTTTACTTGTGCACTGTTGACGTCGGCAGTAATTCCTCATGGCGAAAAATTACCCAGGTCTCCATGGGCTTGGAGGAACACCACCAACTGCGGCAACAACTGTTCTCTTCTGCTCTTCTACATGGAAAAAATAACTTTGGTGTTTACGTAAATGGCAACAATACGGACGTTTTTACTTTTGCCTTTCGACGTACAGAACATGCTCTGCGTTTTACCGCCCAGATTTACACTGTTGTGAAGCAGAAATGCGAAGCATTCACCAAATCAGAAACGTGTCTCATGAGAGCCGGGATCACGGTGGGAAAGCTGCGACCCTCGAACGACAGCCACACAGCTAGTACGAATACGGCCTCTGGCACCGCCACGGATTGCAAAGCTACTCGCATGTACTGTGCCGCGGTAAAGCATTGGTTTGTTCCGGTCATTTGTGTGATTTGGCATGCCGCGGGGAAATTCTGGCTGTTGCAGAGGTCATACAGGCCTTCCAATCGAATAAATCGAATCTTTTGAGCATGGAGTACAATGTTTTGAAGAAGGGCGGTCGGTTTCTGGGATCATACTCCACTCTGGTGGATGTGTACTCGATTCTTCCCAAGGCTTATGCGTACAGACGTCAATTACTTAAGGGCGGGGACGATGGGTCTTGTAGAGACGAGTGCGAATCTCCACGTTCCTCCGTCAAGGCGGCCTTGCAGCTTGGCAAGCGTATCATGTCCCGCGAAGAAGTGGAGCAACTGCTATTGCAGCATCAACAACTCCTAGAGAAGTCCGAGGCGGCTATGATGGCTGCTGAAGACAATGCCTGGGAAATCACCACGCAGCAGGCCCTCAGTTTGCCGTGGCCCGTCGTCAGCAGATCCGGCGTCAGAAGTACGACAGCAGAGAGGGGTTTTTTATACTGTGACGCTGTTGACATTGTCGCAATTTCTCGTGCGTTACCTGAAGAATTATACAAGAATATTATGGGCCAATATAATTACGTTGTGAAGGAAGCATTGCTGGCATATGATGGGTTTATTGCCAAGACGGATTCTACAGCGGCGTACATTGTCATTTTCACCGAGCCACATTGTGCGTTGGAAGCAGCGTTGCAAATTCAGCGCGGGCTTCTGGCAGTGGACTGGCCACAAAGAATAAAAACACTAGAAGCCACACTTCATGTAAAAAGCTGTAAGGCAAATATTGTGTTATTTGATGGAATTCGTGCAAGGATGGCGGTACACGTGTCTAAGGATTATCAATCCACTAGGACATTTTGTGGCGACGATAAAGAATTTGTTGAAGTGTTTGGTCCGGCCATAGAGACAGTTGCGGAACTCGGTTTTCAGGCATGTGGTGGTGAAATAATTGTGACGTCTTTTGCTCTGTCTAGCATTGGATCCACCTTACATGGTTCAATGCTTCTGCTGCAGGTTGCCATGCGGGTGGCAAGGATACAGTCTTCTAATAAAATGTTACTTGCTTCATGCGTACCGCAGCGGTTGTGGGAGCGGCTTCATCTTTTTGTCCCCGCCGCGCCGGTTGCTGAGGTGGCAAAGCAGGGCACTGGTTCCAAGTTGAGGCAGTTGAAAGTGGCGGAGAGGAAAAAGTCGTGGTGGCGAGAGGGAAACAATTCCCTGTTGTCCCTGCCATTTTCTAGTCAGGCACCGTGGGGAGAGAGAGTGAGTGCATCCCACAGCACTTTTGCCTTCTCTGTCCAGGCCTCTTTGGGAGGCGCCGTGGGCCAAATTCGGCGGGAGTTGTCCTCCTCCATTGGTTTGAGCACGCACCGTGAAGTATTTTTAAACATCGTCTGCGAAATCCTCATGAACATGAGCCATCTTTTTCGGGTGGTGGAGGACGGAGTGTCCAGGGCAAATGTATTGTCACCACTCCCACCGCTAGAAACAGGGGGAGCTGCTGCAATAAGCCGTGATGCTTCACCGAATAAATTCCGACAGAACTTCTCCCCGGAAAACCGTTCCTCCGGGACCTTCAATATGAAACTCATGCACAGCGGTGACAGCACCTCCTCACCGTCGGTGTCGATCTCCGGCGAACCACACAAAAATGCAGTGCAGATGTTGGACAACTTATTGAGGGGAGCCTTGCATCGGATGGCTCGCGCATTGGGCGGAACGGGCAAACCGCATTTAGCGTCTTTTTCGAATCGCATGAGCACGTTCAAATCAGTTTCCAGGCGTAGCTCCCCGAAGCCCAGCGGGCCGCTGAGGCCCCTCTAGCATCTGCCTCAGTCGATGTAAAAAAAAGGAGGGTGTAAAAAAAAAAAAAAAGGAGTGATTGAGGACACACCGACACAAAAGCAAATATATGCTCGTTATTCGGAAAAGGACATCATGCCAGAACTTCCTGTTCCGTACATATATTTGTGGAAAAGATGCATTTTCTTTTAGACTTGTTTTTTTTTTTTTTTTCGTGTGTGTTTTCTCTCTGTCTGTGTGTTTGTGCAAATTTTTTGTGTGATTTTCTCATTGTTTCTTTTTTTTTTTTTTTGCTTTTTTTCTTTACGTGGGCATTTTGGTTGGACTGCTTTCCATCCTCATCCTCATTGTCTTCTTTCCCCTCGTCCCGTACCACTTTTTTTGAGTTGCGCATTCCAAGAAATAGATTGAAAAGGAAGCATACAAATTGCAAACACACAAAAAAAATAATTTTTTTTTTGTAGCTGCCCGGGGGAGCTTGCAACCACCAGCAAAATTCTCCAAGCGGGGACACGCCTAGGGCATTTCTCTTGCCACGACCTCTCCGCTCACACGGGCAGAACGCGATATGACGGTAGCTAGCAGTGACGATGACAAACAACTTGATCGTAGCCATCGTAGTGATGGGAGCTGCTGCAGTATCAGCAGTAGTATTAGTAGTAGTAGCACTAGCACTAGCAGTACTCATGGTGACGACGGTATCCCACACGCCAATGGGGTGGTCAGAGTTCACCAAGGCAGGTCACTATTTTCAGGGATTTTCATGTGTTATTTATCGCTGTTTTGTGTGATTCGTTACCTCGCTCGGCTCTTGTTCTCTGGATTTGCCACAGTCAGAGCTGCCAGGGACTCCGAAACGTACGCCATGCAAAAAAAAGAAGACGATTTCTTATGTGGGAACCAGAAAAACTCCGAGCGAGGCGGTGGGATCACAGCCAAAGGTATTCAAGCGCTTAGATCGCAGTTCCGGCTCGACTCTGACACCGATACAGAGACGACAAGCGGCCGCTCCTTCTCTTCTGCAGCAGTTAGTGGGGAAGCGCGGCGTCGCCTTCGGGCTAATTTACTTATACGTCAATTTTTTAAAAAAGAGAAAACCGAAAGTATGCTGAGGGCTCTTCGTGTCCATGCTTGTACTTGGAACGTGGACCGCCAACCTCCCCCTAACGGCAATAATGGTTTTTATGAGTGGCTATTAGGGCGGAAACTAATGGGAAAGGTAACTACCTATTGGGATTTAAGCAAAGAAGCCAGAGAAAATAGCAATGAGACTACCCCTCCTTTTCCGATTGAAGAATTCCCTGATATTGTTATCGTTACTTTGCAAGAAGTGGAAATGGGCGGAGTTGTTCTCGTAAGGGAATACACTGAAACGGGAGTCATGTGGACAGAGGCCATAGTAGATGCATTGAACAAAATTAGTGAACATCGAGTATGGTACAAGAAGGTGAAGTCGGTGCAGCTCGTGGGACTGGTACTTGTCGTTGTGGCACGCGTTGAACACATCAACTACGTGACAAATGTTCGTGTCTCCCTCACAAGAACCGGTGCGATGCGTGGGGTGTGGGGAAACAAGGGTTCGGTTGGAATTCGGGCCACAATATACGGTAAACGGTTTCTATTCATTGCCGCACATTTCGTGGCACATAAACATAACGAACGCACCCGTACCCTTAACTACCATGCCTCGCTTAAGGATCTCATGTTTGAGATGCCGGCAGGCGTGGATAGTGAACTGGATGTGTTGGAGACATTTAGTACCGCCGCACGAGATTCTAATATGGAGGATGGCATCATTGAGAAGCGTTCGAGGTTGACGCCCTTCTTTCGAAATTTGCGCCGAACCCCCTCCGCGCTACTGGAGAAAGAAGTTTTGGACAAATACGACTATGTATTTTTTCTTGGGGACCTAAATTCCCGTCTACATGGTCTGAAAGGCACAGACATCCGTCGCTTGGTTCGGAACAAGGAGTACGATCGACTCATCTGCCATGACGAGATCCGGCAAGGGATGATCAGCGGGGACACATTTGACGGCTTTCAGGAGGCCCTCATAGCGTTTCCGCCCACGTACAAACTTGACCGGAAAACGGATTTGTACGACACGAGTAGAAGGAAACGTGAACCTGCATGGTGTGACCGCATTCTCTTCCGTGTCTGTCTCCCCTGCGAGAAATCCGACGACGACGATAGCAATGATCATAATGTTGATGGTGTGAATAGGAATGACGGGAACAACAAACAAGAAGGTGAGAACAGAGCTTTGTATGGATCTTTCCCATATTTAAATAGCAGCACCAAATTAATGTACAGCATGCCGGAGTTTTCGGTTCCTGTGGACAATGTAAATGGACCGCTCAACAGAACGGACGACGATGTCGTTTCGCTCCAATCATCTACCTCTTCGATGAGTAGCGAAGGTGCGGTATCGTTGCTTGGGAAATCGGATTCCGTGTTGTCTGATATGCACTATCGGAGCTGTTACTTGGAGACCCTGTCAAAAATGAGGGCACAGAATCTTCAAATTTCTTCTTTCACTCATCGTGACGTCTCTTTAGATGAAACAGAATCGCTGCCAACTTTTCTTGCTGCAAGGCGATCGACGTGCACCGATAAAAGATTCAAGTTTTTTCCGATGATTCCAAACAAGATGCTTGTCTTTGACTACCATCATGTGCAGGCTCTGCGACATTCCGACCACCGGCCTGTTTGTGCGCAGTTTAGGGTGTCCGTTCTCTCGTTCGAGAAGGATTTAGTGGACAGTGTGCTGCAAAAGGTGAATGAAGCTTTTTATTTGGAGGAGAATTACCCTCTTCACGACTAATGACATGATGGGTGTTTATTCCTGATACTCCATTAATTGGCTTCTGCTTCTTTTTGCTTTTTTTATTTTCTTTCTCTCTTTCTCTCTCTCCTTTTTTTTTATTTGCATTGGGCACGTACATTTTAATTGTGTAAAATATATTTCTATCCATGGCCTGAGGAGAGGGGGTAAGTGAGTGGTGTGTTCCTGTCCTTTGAACTTTTGCTTTCTCACTCCCTCTCCATAAATATGCGTGTACATTCCGTTCTTTGCGTGTACACTTCATATGTCTTTTAATCCTGTTGTTGTTGTTGTTGTTGTTTATTTTCTCTGGGTTTACTGAGCCCGTAAATCAAGTTGCCGCTGGAAAGGGGGGAAAGGAAAATACAGTTTTATGCGCACCGATAGCAACGACTGCGATGTGTGACGCAGTTTCAAGGAGACATTTTTAATTTACCGAAAACCGCCCTGGAAGTCAGCCTCCTGCAGTGGATTATTTTTTTTTCCCCGTATGTGTGTGTGTGTGTTAGTGCGTTTGTGATGTGGATTCTTTTGTGCCATGGCAAATTCTGTAGGGCGGCACGTCTCTTATCTTGTGCCTTCACGCCTCTTCCGCAGGCCGGAAAAGTGGCAGTTCTTTTCGACAAAAACGAACACCATTTTCTCTGTGTTTCTCCAGGGGCACTAGGGGCCCCTTCGGCAACATACGCCGAAGCAACAGTCTTTACCGAAGAAGCTTTGCGTTTCTTGTCGTTTTTTTTTTTTGGGGGGGGGGGGGGAGGAGCGGTGTACCATTGCTATTTTAATGGGACTCGCATTGCCCAGTTTTGTGCATTTAATGTCCTTGTTTCTTTTTTTTTCTCATGTGTGTGACTCTTGCGTTAGTTTCTCTGTAGTTCTGGCGTGCAGGCATTCCTTGTCTCCTTCTCCACTGGTCCTGTTTTCCATCTCTTTTCCTCTCTTTACATTATCTGTTAGAGGAAGTAATGCAAGGATTGCCGCATGACGTGGATGGGCATTTTGGCATCCGTGTTGCCGCCAGGAGCAGCAAATTGCGTGCCAGACAAGAGGCTAACGGAAGAGCACATGTGGCGGGATCAGGGGCTCAAGTGCCCTTGCGCACCCGGACCATTTTAGCGCCACGGCTACAGCTGCGCACCTACCATGACCACACAGCGATGCGTGATGCGCTGGAGGAGTTGAAAAAGGCGTGCGGTCACTTTCCTCTTGACGATGCGGAGGAAATGGAAAAGATGAATCCCACGAATAGCAGTGCGGGCCTTACACCTTCGCAGCTCAATCAAATGCCTGGTCACTTGATTGTTTATTGCTTCACGTATTGTGACTTGGAGTCTCTTTGCGAGTTGGGGCGCGTCAGTCTCCGCTTTGCCGCCCTGTCCAACGCCAACCTTTTGTGGGAAACTCACGCCCGCCTGCGGAATGTAACAACGAGTGCGCCGGAATCTGCCCGAGAAGATCTCCGGCGTGCTGTGCTTGAGCAGCACGAAAGGTGGCAGGCGGAAGTACAGCGGCATGAACGCGAGTACGAGGCGTTGGAACGTCGCTTGCGTGAGCGCGCCGCCGCTGAGCTCGCGGCCCCTGTCGACGTAAACGCTACCCTCGCGAACAATCGGCCCGGGATATTTTTTGGTGGTAACAGCAACGGTAGAGATGCCGGCAACGCTGCTGATCAAGAAGCATTTTCCGCGCAGTTAGAGCAACTTGAGACAGTGAAACTAGACCTTCTTCGTGGCATCCGCGAAATGAAATCGGAGCTGGCTCAGCAGCAGAGGCAGATTGAAGAGCTGCAAATGTGGGTAGCCAAGACAGAGGAGGCAACTTGTGAAGCGGGGAATACAACCGCCGCATGTGAAGTGGAGGGAATTACCTTTTTGGCTCTTCAGGCCTTTGAGCGCCGTATCTGCCGAATCGTGCTGAGTGCTGTCAATGATCTTCCAACTGTGCTGCGCAGAGGCGTCGACGATTTTGCTACCATGGAACTGCTTTGTCTATTTGGTGCTGGCGATGTTGGCGGACGTGTGCGGCAGCGTTGGGCTGCCTTCAAACGTTTCTTTCCCCCGATGTCGGAAGACTACGGAACCGTCAGGTATTTACTGATGACTGGAGAGCCGCCGTCTTCAGACCGAGCGCGCGAATGCATTGCTTCTCTCGGTGGTGTGATTCGCCGTGTGCAGCGGATGACAGATAATGAAATTGTGCAAATCATCATGTAAAAAAAAAAAAAAAAAAAAGAACTACGTTCACGTGAAGTCCTGCAGAAGGAATGAGAAGATGAGAGCTTGTAGCGTGGGTCCTTGAACGTATATATGTGCTTTTTTTTTGTTTTTTTAACGTCGGGGCGCAGGCTGATGCGTTGTTCGGTGTGATAACCTTTTTTTTTTTTTTGCTCTTTTTGTTGTACAAAAAAAAAAAATAATAAAAGGAGGGCGTTGATATTTGTCCACAAATGCTTCGAAGATGGCCTGTTTGTGCTGTTGCCACCGAAGTGCCGACCATCGTTGCCACCACCACGACTGCAAAACTGTGGGGATCAGTGAGGGCTGCCAGCAGCAGCGCGACGGGGAATGGCGCCGGAGAAAATGCCCCATCGGTCGCAGAAGCAGCCGACGGCGCGGCGTATCGTGAAAGCCTGATTCAAGCGATATTGTCACGTGACAAGGAGATTTTTGAGCTGAAGCGGCAGCACGAGCTTTCCATGCTGCGGGTGGAGCAAAACCAGCGCCGTATTTTAAAGGACCAGGAGGACCGTGGCATGTACTATGAGCAGAACTGTAACGTGCATACCTTTGACACCATCTCGGTCGGTCTTTACACGCAACGGAACACCCTCTACCACACCATGAGCGTCGAGAGACTGCGAAATGTGAAGCTTTTGCTGACACTTCTTGTGACGTTATTGACGTGTTTCTACCTTTACTACCGTTATATGATCAACCCTAACTGGGTGTACGTGGAGAAGCCACTGAAAATAATTGGGAGTCGCGTTGGGGCGTTGAATGATATTCGGGCGCAATTGGGAAGCCAGGAGGAGGAAACGATGGCGATGCGATCGAAGCTGCGGGAGTAGAAAACAGCTTTGCTTCCCCGACTGTCGGTATTGCCGTCTGCGCCTGCGTGCCTGCCTGCGTGTTTATGTGCGTATTCTTTTCTTTTCGTGAACAGAGGCTCCAATGCCCACGAATTCTGCTGTTTTTTCATGTGCGTATTTAAGTATGCACGAAGCCATGTAATATATCTTACACAGCTGCTTTTTTCTTTTTTTTTTTTTTTTGCGTTTCTTGCCCTTTTTTTTTTCTTTTACTTTCTCTTGCTTGTCTTGCTTCTCCCATTTCGACCGGGTGGGAGGTGCTGGTAGGACGCACGTGCGAATAAAGGAAGCAACACGTCATAATGCGACGACTTTTGTGTAAATCTGGCCTTCTGGCCCCGGCCCGGGAAATGCGGCATGAGCGTGATTTCCGTGGCCGTAATCGCCAACGCCGACAGCGTGGATTTGGCGAGGGCCGTAGCTCTTCCAACCCACGGAACAATGACGACATTGGGATTTTGCAGATAAAATTTCACACCATACCGGCTCTGCAGGTGGACATGCGAGCAGAGACTCAGATCGAGTCGTTCTTGAGATCGCAGCTGCGGGAGGATGGGTCTTCGATGTTACTGTCAACGAATGCGTCATCTTTACCCATAGTTCGTGTGATAAATGTTCCCAGGTCCACCTTGAAGCGTGCCGTGCTGGAGTTCCACGTAAGGGGAATACCGGTGCGGGCTTTAGGGCAATCAACCCGCGCAAAAAGGGCTAGGGCGCTCTGCTTCATGCATGCAGCGAGGCTCATTGATCACTTTTCAGTAGAAGGCACGGACAGCAGTGCTGCGCCTCTGCCACTCGAGGAGGGCACGGAATTAAATGCTCAAAAGAAATATTTGAAGCGTGTGATGAGTATTCGAAAAACGCAGGCTTTTGGTCCGCCTCCACAGCCGGAAGAATACGATTGTTGGGAAGATTATGTGGATGAAAGTAGGCGACACATTGAACGGCAAGAGCAAGAGCGACGAAACGAGGCCTTTCAGCTGCTGCGTATCCCTCATACTGGGAACCCATTGGTTGACAGGGCGGCGGAAATGACCGAGCAGGAACGATGCACCGACCGATTGGCTCTTCAAAAACTTAACAATGAACTTCTTGGGGTCAGCAAGGGTGTGAATATTGTTCGCATCTCGCATCGTGTCTTTGTCGCCACACTCACATTGGATAGTGTGACAAATTTAGTTGCTACTGGTGTAGCTGAGAGTTCACAGGAGGCGAAGCAGCGTGCCGCGATGCATGCGCTTAACATTCTTACGCTGGTGAAGGAGCAACGGCAAGCTTCTGCCGTGGATGGGAAGGCATCAGCTTTTGCAGGCCGTGGAAGCTGTGCCTCGCCTGACGCCGTGTCACTCAGCCTTACGCCACGTTATTCCAAGATGCTGGACTTTTTTTCACTTTTTTTTGGTGTGACTCCGGCTCCTGTCTTCACAAGGGAGGGAAATTCCTATATTTGTCACATGGATTTGGACGGTGTCAAGTGCACGGGACAAGGCATTAACCGGTTTGAAGCGGAGCGCCATGCCATTGAGAACGCATTGGGAGAGATGGAGTTGTATGACGAGCGGTTGCAGGGCATTAATAGCATCATTGCACAGTATCCGAACATCCAGCCACGGTGTGTTCCGACTGCCAAATTGCCGGAGGCGTTGAGGAATGAAATTCACGCCTTTGTACAGCGCTGTCGCACCGAACTTCATTTTCCAGTTGATGGCAATACGGTGGGAAACGAAGGCCATGGTGGTACTCCTGAAAAAATTTTAACTGATGACGTTTTGGATGCCGAGACACGGGCGGCAATCAAGGCCCTGGAAGATGTCAGACGCGATGAAGCCTATGCGAGACGATTACGCGATCGGCTGTGTAACCTCAGGGCGGACCCTAAATACCTTGAGAAATTTCACATGCGTCGCTCGAGCCTTGCAATTGCGTCTGTGGAGCAGCGCATACTTGACGCGATGGATCAGCACCGTGTGGTTGTCGTATGTGGAACAACCGGATGCGGCAAAACAACCCAGGTTCCGCAGTACATCCTTGATAGGGAGATTATGGAGGAACGTGGGGACCGCTGCTGCATCGTCGTGACTCAGCCCCGTCGACTGAGTGCCTTCAGTATCGCGGATCGCATTGCAAGTGAGCGACTGGACGTGGTGGGGAAAGATGTGGGGTATGCTGTGCGTTTGGACGCTCGGCCAGGCCGTCACATCACGCTCTGCACGACCGGAGTTTTGCTCCAGATGTTATCCGGTATGCCATCGCTAGACACGGTGAGTCATCTTGTGATCGACGAGGTGCATGAGCGTGACATCAACTGTGATGTGGCTCTGGCTCTTGTCAAAGAGCTGCTGATGGAGGACAAAAATAAAAGGTTGAAGGTTCTTCTCATGAGTGCAACGATGCAGTCTGAGATGTTTGCTTCTTACTTTGGTGATGTGCCTGTGATATCCGTGGAGGGGGCCGTGTACCCTGTGAAGGTATGCTACTTGGACCACGTGGCCCATCTTTTTCAACATTCCTCCCCTCCCGGCTACTATAGTCCCATGTTTGATGCTCTCAGCAGCGCGACCACATCGCAGGGCCGCAACACATACCGTGGCAGGGGTGGATATCGGGGTACAAGGTGGCAACTGACAACACCGCCAAAGACAGACTACGCTCTCATTGCACGTCTTATTGAACGAAGTGTGGAGGTTGACCTTCACGGGGAGGTGGAAGGAAAGTCTGTCCTCGTGTTTCTCCCGGGATGGAAGGAGTTGATAGCTGCAAAACAGGCTCTCGAAGCTCTTAACGGGGAGCAGCGGTATCATATCATTCTCTTACACTCCTCTGTGGACGCGAAGAAGCAGCGGGAGTGCTTTTCACCGGCGCCCGAAGGATTTGTGAAGGTGGTGCTTGCCACAAACATTGCTGAAAGTGGTATAACCATTGATGACGCGGCAGTGGTGATTGACACCGGTCTTATCAAGCAAACCTCGTGGGTATCGCGTGCGACTGGGACCCAACAAGAACATCATGCCTCTTCGTATTCCACTCAACTTGCTTTACAGTATGCAAGCCGCGCCAACTGTACCCAACGCAAAGGCCGTGCGGGGCGCACACAAGGTGGTATTTGTTATCGTCTTTTTACGCGAGAGGTTTGGGATGTGTTGCCTTTTTTTCAGGAGGCAGAAATTCATCGTGTTCCGCTTACACAAGTCCTGCTGACCCTCTTGTCACTTGGACACACAAAACCCAAAGAGACTCTTCAGAGGTTTATTGAACCACCTTCTGTAAAAAATGTTGAGGCTTCCATGCGACAACTGCGAAGCTTGGGGGCAGTGACTGCGGATGAGAAGTTAACGCCGCTTGGGTTGTATCTGTCACGGCTGCCATGTGACCCGCGAATTGGGAAGATGATTATGATGGGTGCTGTGTTGCGTTGTATGGACTCTGCTCTAACGATGGCAGCGACCGCGGATGTCAGCCCATTTGTGACAAGCCGAGAGGTCTCTTTTGAGGTGCGACAAAAACGACATGCCTTTTCGATGGGATCACAGAGCGATCACATCAGTGTGTTGAATGCTTACAATGCCTTCTGTGCTCGTCAAGGCGATGGTGTCTTTGCCAGCGAACAATATATCCATCGAAATAACATGCGGATTATTTCCCGCTACAAGCAACAGTACCGTGACATCCTCCGCCGTTCAGGATTCATCCGGGATGGGGAATCATTTTCTCTTGAAGCCCCTGAGGATGAGTTTATTATCCCCAATGATGATGCGGTGGCTCCGCTGCATGTTGATTCCGGTTTACTTTCCCTTGATGCTGCAGACGTCACACTCGTTAAGGCCTGTCTCTGTGCAGCTCTCTTTCCTAATGTGGCTGTGCTTGACCCTTCCCCGTTGCTTCAGGGGGGAAAAAGGGCGAAGACGCTGGTGATGCGCACTGCCACGCACAAAAACATCTCACCTTCCAAAGATAGTGCGTGCCGCCGTCTTGGACCTCCTCGTGCCCATGGTGTACTGACCCCAAAAGAGTTTTTTGGTAGAGATGCGGAGAGTGGTGCCGAAGCACCTGTCATTCCCTCCATGTTTTATATATACCAGAGCATTTTTTGCGTGCAGGAATCCAGAGAAGAGTTTCTTACACAGGTTTCTTCAGTGAGTCTGTGGGCTCTCCTGCTATTTGGTGTCGGTGAGGCGGACATGCGATTTGACCCTCTCTTGCAACTCTGTATTGTGGGGGGTTGGATAGGCATACACATCGATGCCAGCTCCTTTGCCACGCTGCACGCACTTCGCACTACCCTGCACACCTGCGTTTGGAGGAAATACCAGAAACCGGATGACGAGAAGAACAATGAGGCACTTGAGGTTCTCAGGCGACTCTGCAAGGAGGTATTACAGTCACCGCCAAATGATAAGGAGCAGTACCTGAACCGTCTTGTCGATACAGGGCGTATTCTCTCTCCGTCAATGCTGGAGCCAATGACCACAGACACCAATGACGAGAATTTTGCATGGGAGTGATGGCATACATTTGAGCGTTAAGGAAAAAGAAAGAAAAAAAGCCTCCAATTTATATTTATTTTGTTCGTGTGTTCGTTTTATTTCCCCGGTTCATAAGTGTAATAAATAAGGTATTCGCTCTATAATTCACAGAAAATTTTTTACTTCTTCCGCGCACTCACATAGCTTATGAAAACGCTGTGTAACGTGCAATGCTTTTTTAGGGTAGCGGAATGTATAGTGTAGGCAACGTTATATAATATATATATATATATATGTACTGTGCTACGCAAATCACTTTCTATTGTTACTATTGTTGTTCTTGTCGTTGTTGTTTTTGGTGGTGGTAGTGGTTGCCTTTTTATTGTTGCTCCCTTGTTGTTATTAGTGAATTTTCTCTGTATTTCAAGGGGGAGGCGTGGGGAACGAAGAGCTCTCAAGACTTCATCCTCCCGATGTATGTGACTGTGTGTGTGTGTTGTTGTTGTTGCTGGACTCGTTGTCTTTCTCACGTTCTTTGTTTTTAACACATGACAGTGGACGCGGCGAAAAAATGTCCGCGAGCGGTAGCACCAGCAAAGACGCAAGCCCTTATGTTTGCCTCTCGGCCCATTGCGATTTGCTGCATTTCATCGGCCCGGTGCCTCACCCGTACGGCGGGCCAAAGCCGCAGACAATTGCACAACGTGCCTCGCAATACGTGCGTTTTTCGTGTGAATCCTGTGAGAAGGCGCCGACCGTGACAGTGAAATGCGAGCACCCGCTGTTCCCGCCCATTCCGATTACGAGGACAAGCGACGGGGTGCCATCTTTCCCGCTGACTGGCATTGAACTGGCGCGTTGGGCGTACCGGGAGAACTTTGAGTCTGTCGCGTCGCAATCGCAACTGAACCCTCACGAGAAGAAAGTTGACGTGCCTCATCCGCCCCTGCAAGGCGACTCCGCCAGAGTGGCTCATGAATCCGCGCTTCCAGAAGTAGCATCAACAGCACCGCTGGAAGAACCCGAATCGACCATGGAGTCGGGGCGTTCTTCCTGTATTGTGAATTTTCACGCTCTGCGCCGCATATTCCTGCAGACATTATTCATTTTGAATCTCCCTCATAGAAGTCCCGCGGTCTCATTCAGATTGTCCCTGCATGATCCCAGGCCTTTTGGTGTCACAAGTTTTTTTCTCCTCCCTCGGTGCGCGGAAAAGTTGGCGGCTTTGGCACATCCCGCGAAAGTAACTCTTACCGTTGCAAGGACTACTGGCGGTGATACACTTCAGTGCTCCTGTGACTGCCTCCATAAGAAGGACGAGGAAGAGGATAGGATCACTTCTTTGCAACTACTTTGGGAATTAAAAGAGGGGGATGAAAGAGAACAGTACGCCAAAGATCCTGTTGAGTTGGATTCGTTTCTTACGGGGACAATGATTCCAGTGCTCTTTGCCCTTCCTGAGGGTCTCGCTCAGCTCATTGAAAGTGAGGGCGTTCAGACTTCACGGGCAATTGGTTGGTCTCAGAGACGCTCCTTCCACCTCTTGGCGCTGATTGCACACTGTGTGTGGTGCGAAAAGGTGGCTTGGTGTATCATGAACCGTTTCAGTGTTTCAATGGGTTTGTGTAGACGCCAGAAGGCGCGTCTGAAGTTACGGAACAGTGCCTCCTTGGAATCTACTGACAAGTGGGAATCGACACTATTTTTTTACCCTACCGCGTTTAATGATGATCGTCACCAAACAACGAGAGGACGTTTGGAGGCTATTGACGTCACAGCCACTTCGTGTGCAGCATTGATTCAGGTAACAGTTCGGGGATGCGATGAGGAGATGGAATGGGAGTGGAATGGCGAGATCCCTCACAGATCCTCTGCGGGTCTGTGCGATTTCACGGAGCTGATTAAGAAGAGATACTGACTGTGTATGTCGTGGTGAGTGCAATGAACGAGATGAATATTGATGAAAAAGAGAAAGGCCGTAACGCGATGGCATTGACACGGCCCTTTACAGAAGGAACGGGGAGAATTCTTTATGGTGAGCCCTGCAGCGTTTTTGTTGTTGTTGTTGTTTTTTTACTTAGAGAATTTGTTAATCCCTTCCTTTTGAGTCTACCGTTAAACCATCTGGTTTTCTTTTATTTTCATTTTTTTTTTAATTTTATTTTTGCTTTCTCTGGCAGAAAAGGGGTCTGGCGAATAGCCACGAAAAGGAAGGAGCAGAGGAATAATAAAGGGAAGGGAGTGGGAGGAAGGGCATTCTCTTCTTGCTTGCTTGCCCTCTTACTTACTGGAAAAGGTAAGAAGGTAAGATGACGGTCTGGTATTTCTTGCAGTCTGCACTTGTGGCACTCTTTTTCGTCAAGGATGTTTCGGCATTGGAACGCTGCCGCCCTATTGAGAGACTGAAGGGCCTCAACCAGGAGATACTCGCGATGCCGAGGGGAGGGTTTTATGCAGGTTATGAGTACTTCTGCGCCGAAGACGCTCCCCGGCAATTCCACTGCCATTGCGGAGTTGACACCATCTGCAAGAATAAAACAGATGCCTGGGGTAGGAATGTTGGGGTGTGCGCCTGTTGCCCGTGGTGGATGATAGTTTTATTCGCGATTCTCGCTCTTGTCGCGGTGGTGGCCATCAGTACTACCCTCTACGTGTGGTGCTGCCGCGGCAAATGGTGGTTTGATGGATACCCGCCACCGGTTAAAGCCATCATGTGCCGCCGCGGAGCCGCCACCGTGGTGCCCGCCACAGGGCCGCTGCCGCCGAACCTCTTTCGTGGCTACCGCACTTCGGAGTTTGTGAGTGAACCCACCGAGCAACCCCCGTCACGTGTGCCCCTTGCAGCCCGTGGCGGCGAGGCACCGAGGTATTTGTACCATGAAAATCGCCGGCACTCATCACCACCACAAAATCCGCCGCATTCGCTGCAGCAACGTCTTAGCGAGCGGAACCCTCTGAGCCATCGCTAGTCGGGACATCTCGATGTGCCGCGAACACGCTACAGCGCCCCCTCTCCTCCAATCCGTGGGAAACAAATCGGGAATTTTGTTTACCCCGGCCACCACAATGCTCTTCGAGGGTAAATATTGGACTGACGAGTGGGAACGGAGAAAAACAAAAAAAATAGTTGCTGTTAAATCAAAAAGACAAATAAAAATCTATTTATTTGCTTGGATCTCTTCTTCTTTGTGTTTCGAGGAAACGATTTCCAAAATGTGAGTTGCAGTAGTCTCTTTGCTTCACACAATTATTTTTTGGTTCTGAATGCTCTTCAATCAATCGAAAATGAGACGTATTTTTGTCGGTTGCGTTTGTAGATGCTTTGCCCGCACCAGCGCAGCGGTTGGCCAATGTGAAGGAACGATAGAACACGGGTAAAAGGAGAGGAATGTGTTGAGCACTTGGAAAACAAAAAGAATTGGCGGAATGTGCATCTGCATGCACATTCTCTCTACAGATCTAAAGTGAAAGGAAGAAAAAAGAAGACCGGTGCGAAGGAGGGTTTCACGTGTTCAGTGGCTGTGTACACGAAGGGTTCCATATACTTTTTTTTTTTTTTATATGAGCCCTTATTTTTGCCGCTGGGATTTATTTGATTGCCTAACTCTTTTTAATTACTATCTTTGTGCTGTGTAATTTGTTGGGATTCCTTTTCCTTCCGCGTGTTGAGTGTGTGCCCTGGAATGCGCGGTTTAGGAACATGTATTTACGGAAACATGCACCACTTATGCACGCCTTTTCACCAGCAAACCATTCCTTTATCTTTTGCTGCTGTTGTTTTTGTTGTGTTTCTTTGTGGCAATGCGCTGCTGTGTTTTCTTTTTTTTTTTTTTTTTGTTTTTTGCTTCTTCCGCTTGGCCTTTTCATTTTATGAGGGTGAAGGAAGGAGTGGATTGAGTGATACGGACTTAATATTAAGGTAGCGAATTAGTTAAGCATTAAAAAACCATGTCCAACGATCCGTCTGACGCCGCTATAATATGTGGTACAAGTGATACGACGTACATGGAGGAAATTATTCTTCAGAATGAGGCTCTTCTCCTTGAGGTTGAGCAGCTGCGCTCTGTCGTGAAGGGAAAGGGTCTTGATCAGCTGCAGCAACTGCGTGGAGAGAATGAAAGACTTCAACAGCTACTAAAACTGTCGGAGTCGCAACTGGCGGAGAGGACGCATCAGCTGGAAGTGCTGGAGTCTGCATATAACCGAATTGACGGTGTCCACTCCGCCATTCATGAATTGACAGAGCAACAAAAGGCCCTTTCCGAAATGAAGGAGCGATGCATCAGTCTTGAAGTACATAACACGGCTCTCAAGACGGAGTTGGTCAAGACGAGTGAGTCAGAGGAGGAACTGCGAAAGGCACTGCAGGAAGCGGAGAGAAGCCGTCACGTGTTGGAGGAAGAGGTGAATAAATTACGCGCTTCCGTTACGGAAACGAAATCACGTCTAGAAAATGTTGAGAATTTAAAGTGCTCCGCGGAGGAGGCGCTTGAAGGGGCGAAGGCCTCGATTGCTAAGTTGCAGGCCCATTCAGAAGACCTGGAAGAGAAGAACGAGGCTCTCAAGAGGCGTCTCCGTGACGCGGAGCAAGAAGCCTGTGAAGAGTCGCGGATCAGGAATGGGAGGCACACTTTGATAGAGAAGGAACTGGAGGATTTACGCGCCAAAGAAGCAATCGGGGAGAAGAGATTAATGGAGGCGGAACGGGTGCAGGCGAGGCTGCAAGAGGAACTGCGCTTAGCAAGGGAGGCGCTAGCGGCAAAGGAGCAGGATACATCAAGGACGCTTTTGCAACAGCGGGATCAGGTGGAGAGGAAATTGAAACTGGAATTCGGGAATCTTCAGCGCGCACTGGAGGAGAGAGAGCGGTTGCTGCGTCAGCAGGTGGAGCAGAATATACGCCTGAAGGAAGAACTCACAATGCTGAGCGCGGAAAAGGATATTCTGATGCGTCGCAAGCAAGGGGAGCCTGTCGACGTCTTGCAGCTCCAAAACAGACTAAAGGAGCTCAGTGATGAAACGTCCAAAAAAGAAGCACTGCAGCAGAGGTTCCAGGAGATGCTTAAAAGTAGTACAGCCACCAACAGTGATATTAAGCACCTTTTTGCGCAGATGCTTGACTACCAGGAGCGAAGAGATGAGGAAATGCGGACGATGATAGCCATTGAACGGATTAAAACAGAAGATATGAAGAATATGTACGAACTTAACCTGGAAAAACTTCGAGCAGAGCAAAAAAGCCTTGTTTATGAAATTCAGACCTTGAAAAGTGAGGGGGATGCTTCCGTCACTAGGAGAATAGCACCAGCAGAGGCTGAAATATCGCATGAAGGCACGCAGTACGGAGCAGTAGCGGTGGGGAATAGCTTGATGCCACAGGCGAATGCGAACCCACCGATGTTTGTGGGTCCAACAGAAAGGGTACACCCGGTTGCCAGGGTCGGCGGCAGCGACGTCGGTGGTACGAGTGGCAGTATTGCACACGATTTGTGGCAACGCTCATTGACACGAGCAGATAGAGTGCAGACGACGGCGATAAACTACGAGCCTGCCCGATTGCGTTTCCCTCATGAGGAGCGTTTGAGTTTGCTGGCTTGTCCCCGTTGTACATTTTTGAATCAACCAGGCATTACCAAATGCGAAGTCTGTGGCGCTTCCCTTTGAAAGAAATCTTCAGATGAAGAAGGCGTATGATATTTTTTTCCTTATGAGTTCTGGGGGGAACAAAGAAGAAAGGTATTATGTGTGCGCATTGAGCTTTTTGGTTTATTTTTTGTTTTTACGTTTAATTCCTATCCTTTTTGAGCTATTTGATGAAGACGCGTTGATTACCGCCGTTCTAACGAAAGCTTTCTGCTGAAGTGGGTTTTTCTTTCTGTGTTTGGTTCCGAGAAGCCTTGGGTGGGCCGGAACATATGAGCCTTTACCGCATCCAGGTTTGGCCCGTGCTTTCCCGTCTATGGCTTTGCGCCACTGCGTTGTTAGGGGGGGAGTGTGATTTTAGCTTGGTCCTTCTCTCTATCGTGTGCTTTGCTCTGGTCTTTTAATGTTTCTTTATTTATTTAGGTTTGGACTGTTGTAGGACTTGGCCTGATGTAAGGCCCGCAATCTACTCCGCATCCTGAGTAGACGGCAGATATTCTGGGAGGAGGAGGAAACCCGGAATAAAAGAGCATTAAAAAAAAAAAAAAAGGCTGGGGAGGGGGGGGAACGAAAGTAATTGCAGGCTAACAATGTTTGTTCTCCGCCTTTTTTTTTTTTTTTTTTTTGCTGAGAAAGGGAGTGTGTCGGTGGTGGTAAGGTATCACCACGTGACGTCAACGCGCCGCCGTCTGCTTGTATTTGCATGATTCATGCGTGGAGATGTGTGTTGGTGGAGAGAACGACATGAGTTGAAAGAACGACTTGAATGAATCGGATGAATGTCAGGGATTTTCTTGTGTGAAGGACGTCAAAAACGGAATGCACATTTACACACAAATGCATGCGGATATATTCATTTTTTTTTCTCTATGAATGTCCTTCTCTCCGTAAAGTGGGGTGGGGGAGGGATGCTAACGGGTTCCGCGAGAGACCATCTTGCGGGGAGGGAACTGGGGAGACGATGACTCTTTTAGGCCGTGTCATTTACACAGCGTGGCTTCCAATGAGTTCCAATGGAATCAAAAAGAAAAAATGAAAGGATGACGCAAATCACGTCGTTTATTTTATTCCTCCTTGTTTATTATAAACAAAATGTCTCTCTGTGTGCGATTGACCCAGGCATGCAACCGCTGCAGCTGCGAAACCGTTAGGGGCCATTCGTTCACCTGTGTTGGTGCGTATTTGCATTTGATTATGTGTCATGTATACGAGGCTCACTTAACGGCTTCCTTCGCCCTTTTTTTTTCTTCCCCTTGCCGCCTCGTACGCTGCTGTTTGTATGGTTGCTGTCCCTTCTATCGGCTCCTCTCGCTACGTGTGTTTTCCTCTCACACGCGGCGATTGTGTCCTGTCATTGTGGGTATTGCACCATTATCAATTGCCGCTGCCGCACCAAACGCAGTCTATTGCGTACAAAAAATACCCGCTACAAGCACATCGAACTGACCAAAAAAAAAAAAAAAAACAAGACAAAAAGTAATATTTCTAGTTAAGTGTTCTATTGGTGTGAATTGTGCTCTCTCTTGGACGCCCGGCGACACCAGGAAAGGGACAGAAGAAGCAAAAGAAGAAGAAGATAAAAAGTAAAAGCAAGGAAAGAAAGACTTTCGACCTTTTTTCTCTCATCAAACCAAACAACAAATGGAGATTATCGATAGGCCGCTCAGTGAACTCATCAAGGAGCAGAAGATTGGAGAAAGCCTGCGTAAGAAACGTCGTGGGCACGGCGGACAGCAGAATACCCGCAACGGTGGGCGCGGCACATCCCGCAACGGCCGTGGGAACAGAGCGATGGGGCGTGGCAGCCGCGGCACCGCGGGCAACGATCAGGGACGCCGTTATCGCCGCCCCCTGCGGTTTCGCAGCAACGGCGGCCGCTTCCGTCGCCTTGGAATTGGCTTCGACGACCGCCGCGGCTTCAATTCCCGTTCCTGGCGCCGCAACGCACTGGACTTGGGCGACGATCGACGCGATCGCTCCGTGAAGAGCACCGCCACGCAGCGCCGCAGGAAGGCGGCATTTGAGCGCAACGACCGTGTCAGGGAATTGCGTCGGCGTGAGGCTCTCTCACGTGCCCGGTCGCGTTTTTCACGCGATTAGAAAAAGGGGCCAGAAGCCTGTGGAGAACGGCACGCTGAAGGAAACTACAAAATTAGAAGGACTCCCCTTTTTTTTTTTCTCTTTGTTTTTTTTCTTTCTCGCACTCTTTCCTTTAGACGGCCAGGCGTCCACCCACCGCGGACGCCTCCTGACATGTTGTCTTGCTCCCTTTGTCCCCGTGCAGGAGACAAACGAACAGCACCCACAGGGGAGAGGGAGAGAAGAGTAAGCGAAGGACAAGGAAGGAATGATCGTGAAGAAATTATCAACACGGAAAAAAGGAAAAAGAAAACGGAAAAGATATGAAAGGAAGAATAAACTAACGAAAGAAAAGTGAAGGAGATGAAAGGGGGGAGTATACGCACAAGGATGTATGCAGGGACAGGAACGTTGCAGGAAGAAAGACGGAAGAAAAGGAAAAAAAAAAAAAAAAAAAAAAAACGAGACTATTTGGTGATGTAGTAAATAAAAAAACTTCAAAATATATAAAATTGTTTTTTTGTTTTAGTTTTTTGTTAATTGATGTACCTGCAATGGGTTTGAGCAGCGGGCTGAGATGCGGAAACTTCTGTGCAGTCTGTACTACAGGCATATATATATATATATATATATATATTTTACATATTTATATGCATTTATTTGCTTTCCGTTCTTCTGCTTTGTGGTAGTGCGCGTGTGTCTTTCAGCGGTCACTTTGAAATGAATATATGATGATAGGGAGAAAAAAAAAAAAAAAAAGAAAAAAAATATTTGAGAGTAAAGGCAAAATAAAAAGGAAAGAAGAAAAGAAGAAATTTTAATGGAAATGAAATACTGATTTGCTATTATTATTATTATTATTTTTATTATTATTATTATTATTTTTGTTGGCAGCATCACATTCCCACTCCTTTTCCGTTTGTTATTATATTGTGGCGGGAATGTGAAGAAATGGTGGTGCACATTGGACTCCCTGCGCTCAATTACGTTTGGACACGGCAGGAGGGGACTTGATGCCCGCACTGCGACTCACTGCTTTACTTAGATGTGTTCAGCACCCTTGCAATCTGCAGATGATACAACATCTCCCTTTTGTCGTTTCTTTGCTTTTCCATGAAAGAGGGAAGGGGGGAGGAGGAAAAAGGGGGCGGTTGTGTGGGTAGGGTAGCATAGGGCCGTTCCCCTGCGTCGCCTTTGCAGTCATCTGGGCTTTTCGGTGGTGTAAAGGGGAAGGGAATTGTGTGAGATACGGAGAGGGACACGACGCGAGAGAGAGTGAGAGAGACACGGGTGCAAGAGTTACCTGCAGGCATTCCATTTGATTTTATTTGTTTCTCTCTCTCTGCGTGTGTGTGTGTGTGTGTGTCTGCCCGGTTGCGGTACGCAGAGCGGAAGAGGAGGAAAAAAAAAAAAAAAGAGAGATGCTGCGACGCACACAGCGCTGGCTGCTACTTAACGTCTCTGGCGAGAGTCCGTCCTTCCGCTCGAAGCCCGTGCGGAACCTTCAGATGGATGTTCAGATGAGCCCCTATAAGGAGCAGTTCAAGGACTACTGGTCCACGCCGGTACCATGGGCGGATCGCGAGTACGGGGAAAAGCCAAAAATTGGAGCTCCTATACCTACGCGCCGCGCGGCCACAGCTATCGTCGTAGGCAAAAACAAGCACGTGGCTGTTGACAAAGTTGAGCGGGGTGAGGACAATGACTACAAGGTGCTGATGATGTTCCGTGAGGGGAAAAACCGCTTTGTGCGGGACCAGTTCATTTTTCCATCGTTTCCCATCAGCTTAGAAGACTCCTCGGAAGACTGGGGGAAAATTCTGCGTCGTCGTGGCGTGAAGACGGCGTGGAACGATTTGCATCACCGCCTTTGCGCGATGCGTGCACTTTTTGCACAGATGAATATTCTTCTGGTGCCCAAAGAGGGCGGTGGGCTTGTAGAGGTTGAAGGACCGCCTGGGCCGAAGAAGTGGCATCTACTCGTTCACTCCCAGCCAACGGCGATGAAGAACCTTGTGGATGTCCTTGAGTTGCCCATGGAGACATGTCTATCGCAATTGCTTCCTTTTCGCTGCATCACAACACCCACAACGGAGACATTTCGCTTTGACAACCTTGTTTATCTTGTTCCCTTTGAGAAGATACCTGACGTGCGATTTACGATTAGTACGGTTGGAGAGAAACTTGTGTGGGTTTCACCCATGGAGGCCATGGCGAGGTTCAACGCCGGTATTATGAACATGCCGACTCCAAACATCATTGCAATATCGGAGCTGAATAACGAATGCCCAACCTTTGCAGATGTGATAAAGCGAAAACCGCATGATGACTATCGCTCCATTCTTCCTGAACTCTACCGTCATAGCCAAACCAAAGTCGCCACTGTTCTTCTTCCTGGTGATCTCATGCATCCCAATACCACGGGAGAAGACAAGGCAGAAAGGTACATTCGTCGATTTGTGTATGAAAAGGACTATCCCTTTGGCGTTCGGGCAGTTTTTGAAGAGAGACCTGCAACACCAGAAGAAATGAATGAGCCTTTGATTCAAGAAGCACCAAAATTGTTGGAGGAAGCCAACGAAATGGATATGGTGTACGCCGATACCCCATACCCGAAGCGGGAGAAACAACCGGGAGAGATTGGCCGTACCCGCTTCCCTGTTCCAAGTTACTCTTTTCAAGAAGGCGCTGAGAACGAGGAGGGTGTCATACCCGTCCGCAACAGAAACATTGAGAGTGTCGGTGACCTTTACTCTCACACAAATTGAGAATGTTTGGGAATTATATTTTTTTTGTATTTTGTCAATGTCAGTCGACGTATATTGAGGAAGGGGTGGCTTTCTCTTTTTTAAGAGAAGGAAAAGTTATGAGAGGAATGGAATACCGCGTTTTTGTTTGGATGGTATGTTTTATTGAACGATTTGGTGATGCACCATTCATATGCTTCCTTTTTTATTGAGTGGATTTGCCTGCAATGTTAATTTCTCTCATAATCTCCTTTGTTTGTTTGTTTGTTTTTCTAACTCTTTAATTTCCCCTTTTAATTCTTTATTTTTTGCTTTTTTTGAGTGTTGTTTCCTTATGCATTTCTGGATGTGGCGGATTGGGGGGAAGAATGAAGGTGTCTTCCTTCATCTCGCAGTTAAGGCCAGGGTGGTTTCATCTCACTGTGCATGCGAAGCCAGGCGCAAGGAGTTCATCGTTGGCGTGTCACCCTGCCGTGACGGATGCAGCGATTGAGGTCCGCGTTGGTGCCCCACCTGTAGAGGGAAAGGCAAACGCTGAACTCGTTGAATTCATGCAGATGCTTCTTGAGCAAGAACTGGCCCGAGTTCGTGCGGCGCAACAACACACACCGCTGGAAAGCAACGGCGCCGTCATGAATTGTGTATATGGCGGCCATTCAAAGAAGGACAAGAGGAAAAACAAGCCAAACACAAAGATGGAATGCCCCGTGAATTATCCGGAAAAAGTGCGAGTGTCACTTGTGAGTGGAGCGAGCGCTCGGCATAAGACGCTAGAAGTGGCATTCCCAGGGACGCAGGAGGAACTCATCAGCGTTTTACAGTCCGCATATGTGTCGTAGCCATTGCGGCGTTGAAGTGTTGTTGCTGTTGCTTTGGCGTGGGTGCTACTGGTGTGTGTGGGTGTACCAAAATGTCTTCTTGGAGATGATAACATGCTCCTGCAGCGGCGCACCTTTCCTTCTTTGGGTTTCTCTTGTTTTTTGTAGACAAATAGCTGGAGTGAGAGTGTGAGTTTTTTGCTTTTTGTTTTTGTTGTTTTACGATTTATTGACAGGGCTTACGCGTTTGTATACATTTATTTATCTAGAGCGAAGCGAAATTAGGTGGCTTTTTACACCTTAGTGCATACAATTGTGGGCTCAATGCATACGTTCTACACCATCCGCTACCCACCGCCAAACTCCCAGAAAGGGGGAGAAGACAGCCAACCGATTCGAGTTACCAACAAGGCAATGGAGTCGCTGCTTTTTTGCATTGTGCATTCGATCGAGTTTCAGAGTCCCCTGCAGCCATCAAGGCCTCAACTGGGGTCCTCGATAGGCTCCTCCGGTAAGGATTCCATCACGGACGATGAGGCGTATGTGCGTCCGGTGGAGAACTCGAGCATGCTGTTGGGGAATGTGACGTATGTGTCGCGCTCAAAGCACAAACCGAGTGTTCTTGCCTCGCTGCACACGGCTGTTGAGGCTGCTCGTGCCATTCAAATTCCCGATAAGAGCAGTCAGGTGCCCTTTGAGCTACGGGTGCGGCTTCTGCGTCGGCACCGCGGTTGGCTGTGGCACGACTCACGACCGCTTGTGGAATGGGTGTTTCGTATGGCCAAAACAAGAGAGGAGTTCAGTTTTTCAACCACACATGGCGATGCAAATGAGCGGCCGCGTCCCCGCACGTCCCCACGTGCAACGAATGCCCACGCGAATGTGGTACGCGCTACAGGAGGAGGTGGTGCTCACAGCCGTTCTCGTGAAGAGGGGCTTGTGTGTTCGAACGATCCGGAGCAGATTCGCCAAGTTCTGCAGTTTATTCTGAAGCACAGTTACGATGCCATCGACCTGAACACCTACGCCGACTTCAGGTCCGGGGAGTTGATCTTCGATGTTTCTGTGCAGGAGGTCTAGTGAAGGCTGCGTAGCGGGAATGCAAGTAATGAATGTGTACCCGTGTTCTGATTATATTGCGGATGCTTTGCTTTATCTTACTTCATCGCATGTATCAGGGTTTGATTGAGTTTTAGTTACCTGTAACTCTGTGTCTATCTCTCATTTGCCCGTGTGGGCATGGCTGGTGAACAGCCAGGTACTCCACTAAACTTTCTGTTTCCTTCTTTGGCTTGTGACGTGCGCAAGGAAAAAGCCGTCTCATGTCTTGTTGTTGTTGTTGACGCCGCAAAAACGTGGCATTGGAAGGTAACGGTGAAGAAACAGTAGAATAGAGCATTTCCCTATTCATGACCCTGCTCGGTACTGTTCTCGCATTCTACGAGGTCTCGGGTGTACCACTAGCACTCATATGTACATCACCCAGTGTTCGACAGGCTTGCGAGAAGAATGCAGCGGCGGAAGTGGGATTATGGAAACTATCCCTTGAAAGTGACGGCTCTTGAAGAGTCATTTGGCAACCGTCTGTCCCGGTGCGTCACTGCCACAAGACGGATGTGATGTGCTCTGTGGCATGGTGGTGCAATCGGCTGATGCCCATCGGCGGCAAAGCTCCGCCGACTCGTTTGGACCTTGGCGCTGCAGGACGGTTGCTTGACACCCATCTTCCTATTGTATTTGTCTTCCGCTCGCTTGTGGAACTGACGCTCCGGCGCGCGCCTATCAAGGATGTGAACGTGCTTGGGAAGCTTCCCATGTTGAAGAGGCTTGACCTGGTGCAGGCCCAGGTGGTGGACGGCGGCATCATCGGGCTAGGAGAGAGCAGGAGCCTGGTAGAAGTGGATCTTTGGGGATGCACCGCAGTGACAAATGCAAACACGCTTGGCAAAGTGCCTACCCTGCGAAGGTTAGTTCTAGCTGAAACCTGCGTCTCTGATGACGGCATTGCTGGCCTGGTCGATGGCCTGAGCATCAACGAGGTGGATCTGGAAGCATGTGCTTTTGTAAAAAGTGTGGGGTTCTTTGGTCGACTGCCAGTGTTACGGAGATTACTTCTGGTATCGACATCGGTCGACAACAATGGCATCATGGAGCTTGGTAGTAGCATGAGTCTCGTGGAAATTGATTTGTGGGGGTGCAGCGCCGTGGATGATGTAAACTCACTGGGAGGGATACCAACGCTGCAAAAACTGGATCTTTTCGGCACCTCTGTGACGAATGAGGGCATCAAGGGCCTGAGAAGGTGCCCCAGTCTTGAGGAAATAGATCTGACGCGTTGTGAAGCCGTGAGTGATGTGGAGACCCTGACAAAAATACCGAGATTGCGACGCCTCGTGCTACTGCACACACAAGTTCAAGACGTGTTGGAACTGGTTTCGATGGGCGTAACGGTGATCATATGACGCGATTCTTTACAATTGTTTTGAGGAGGAAGCGTGGATGACATGGGCGCAGACAGTGTGCTTTGATTGGCGTCGTTATTTGTTCTCCACCTTTTAGTCTCCTTCTCTTTTTATTCCTTCCCTTACCATTTTGAACAGTAAGGAGTTGTCTTGAGCTGATGGAGCGGCTAAATGATGATGACGAGAGGGAGGATCTTTATTGTGTAGATCATGGAAGGCTCAAATATAAACACACAGATTTGTTGGCAATGCTGAGAGATGCTCAGTCAGCGATCATCCGTTTTTCTGAAGAGAACCACGACATCATTGCCGACGTTGTCAACTTTGCATCCACCTCCGAACGGGCGAATACATTACGGAAACTAGAGGAAGCGTACCTTGGCATTGTAAAGGTGCAGGCACCGATGGTCCGCTGCAGCCGGCCGGCATTCCGCAAACTCTGCCGCTTGTGGGGTACGGACGTAAGCTACACGCACATGATCATGGCGGACAGTTTCACTTGCTCTGATGCTGCCCGGCACGCGGATTTCTCTATGTACGCCGGTGAAGAACGTCTTGTGGCCCAAATTGCCTCCTGCAGTGGGCCTGTTGCTGCGGAAGCGGCGACGCTCCTGGCGCCGTATTGTGATGCGATTGATCTCAACTGCGGCTGCCCGCAGCGTTGGATCATAAAAGAGGGCTTGGGCTCGGCACTTCTTCAAAAACCAGAGGTTGTGGCAGACATGGTGCGCTGCATTCACAACGGGCTTTCAGGCGGGGTAAGCCTTCCGTGTGTCGTGAAAATGCGCGTAGACAACGATGTGGGGCGCAGCGTGGATTTTGCCCGTCACTGTGAGGCGGCTGGATGCGGGTGGATCACAGTGCACGGTCGTACACCGTCCTGCTCCGCGCACGCGCCGGTTCGCCTCGATGCAATACGCACCATTCGGGAATGCGTCTCTGTACCCGTCGTGGCTAATGGCGGTGTAAACAATCCACAGACGGCTCTCAAAACTTCTTTGACCACCGGTGCGGGGGCTGTTATGAGTGCGACGGGTCTTTTGGCGAACCCTGCCTGTTTCTACGTGCCGCGGGAAGGCGAGCTGCTGCTTTTTGCGCCGCAGAGGCACGGCATCGATGTTGCGCTGGAAGCGTCCATGGGGCCGTGCCGAGGTGCAGACGAAGGAGCCTCTACTGCAGGCAGCGAGAATTCCGCGTGGCTGAAGGGTCTTCCCGGCTGTCCGGTGGAAGTAATATCAGACTTCATTCGTCTTAGCTGTGTGACTGACCTTGCGTCGAAGGCCACCTCAATGCATCTCCTGAAGATGGGTGGGAACTACCTGAGCCCGACGGAGCGTGTCTTTCTGGCGCAGATGCACTCGTCTTTTTCAGTTGTTTCGGCATTCCAGCAGCTTGGATTATACACTCAGGATGGCAGGTTCCGAGTTGTGGAGAGCGTCACATAAGTATCAGTTATCCATAATACATCATTCACTTGCTCGCTCATACACGAAATTTTTGTGTAAACAAACTCTTTTGTGTATTCTATCCCTAATTACTCTTTATTCAGTTTCGCCTTGCTACAATGTGCGTGTGTATGTGCGTCTGTTTTTCTGCCTTCTTCCTTCCGGTGATGCATGGCATTGGAAAACTGGAAATGGTGCGTCGTAGTCAATTTCTGTGTTTGCCCTCCCCCATATACATCTACACATAAGCATAGTACACACGTGCCCCATTAGGAGCTTTTGTTGGTGAAGCGTGGCACCATGCGCAGCGGGTATGACAAGCCGCCGATGGCTCCCCGCAGCTCCAGCTGCGAGAAGCCTAAGTCCATCTTGAAGTCCACAAACAGCAACTTATCGCCCAGCAAATCGCCAACTCTGTCTACGCGGCGTGTTTCCTTCGAGGAGGAGGAGAGTTTTTTGGAGCCGAGGCTGCGGTTTGGTACGCCGACGCACGCTACGCATTCGCATCTTGAGGAAGTGGTAGTGAGAACGCCAGTTGCGACGCGGTCGGAGGTTGTGTCCAGTGGTCCGGTGGAGATGCAAATCAGAAGATATACGGAGTGGAGTGAGTCTGAGCCAACTAGTATGCGTGAACGACCAGCGGACTTGTCGCCCGATTCGCCCCAAGACTCTCCTACCATCATTTATCGCGAGCGCATTCCAACCGTCATCAGCAACCGTGACGAGAAGGAAGAAAAGGGTGAAACACTTTGTCCCGACAGCAATCTCTCAACAGCGACGCTGTCACGAGCACCCACTGCAGAAGCTGTCGTCTCCGCGAGGCCATGCAGTGCTGAAGAGTTGTCTCCATTGCCGGATGTGAGCGTCAGTGATACCACGGCGTCTCCCTCTAGTCTTCTATTGCAACTGGGCCGCTCAGGCAGCAGTCGGTCTTCCATGGAAAACTGCATGGTCGTCGCCACCACCGAGCAATACACGCAGCTGGATGCGAAAGGGACGCTTTTTCCCGACGGGGATACGCGCGCCGACCGCCATTTGCTGAACATTGCGCCCGTCTCGTCTGAGGCGTGCGGTCGGAGCTTGGTATTACCAGGCGGAAGTGTCTTTTCATCCTTTTCCGTCCAAAAATCCCCGATACGAGAGAGCAGCAGTTTGTTTTTTGGACCGTCTTCCCAGCATGAAAAATGGTGTGGCAGCGGTGCAGGAGCCATTGTGCGACCTCCCCGAGCATGGAGCCCGACTGCAGCGGGTGCGAGCAATCATTCCTTATTGCCGCCGCGGCAGGGAGGCGTCGAGGCGCTGTCGTTTGAGGGTGGTGTTAACCCCGATGATCTGGTTTTTGATGACATTCCCGATTGCAGCGTGCCGGAGGCAAATAGTAACGATAATGGACTTCCTCGCCTCACGGAGTCATCGCATTGCCGGCGTATGCTCGATTTCTCCATGCAGCTTTACCCCAACCTTGTGCAGCCGGAAGAACCGCCGCACACCACTGACTTTCAGGAGTTATCATTCTCCAACTTCACGGACGGTGACGGAGAGAGTGTCTTGCAGGAGTGCAGCGTTCGGAAAGGGCGCCGTGCAGCAGGGGACAGTGACCCATTGTCCATGCCACCGCAGCCCTTTTTGCGAGTGTCCAATGCCGGGAAAAAAGGAAAACGTTTTTTTGGGCGGCCATCCCCAACGCACCTTTTGCACGGTGAGTACACTAACGCCTGTGGCGCCGTGGAAAACCCGCCAGAGCTGACGGATTTTGCTGTGAGGAGCACTGGTGAGGAGGTGCTGGGGATGAAGGAAAACCAAAAAACCCTGGTTTGTCGTGACCAAAAATCGACACCAGATGGTGCCACAACGAATTCCTTATTGGAGTGTTTGCACGCGTCCTCCCAACTCTATCCGAGGCAGGCGAAACCGGTGATGGTCGAGTACATCAACAAGTTGTCCGCTTCTTGGCAGGAGGCTCTTCGCGGTGACATGCATCGCCGTCGCCGTCACCGCGGTCATACCAGCGATGAGGTGCACCAGCCGCATTATCGAAAGGAGATGACGAGGCAGTTATTCCCGGGGGTATTTTTTGGCCATGCATGGACGAATACAGAGACGCATCACGTCAATTGTCTGACGGCAGATACCATTGGCGCGTGTCCGTTAATTCCCATCAAGAAAACAGTGGTTGTCATGCCAAGTCCGAGGAAAACGAAAAAGAAGCGCTGTGGCGTCAAGCCAGTCACCACCACTGCTGTGGCTACTCCTCCCGCTATTCGCAGCAACAGCAGCAGAAAATTTGACGACTGTCGTGCGGAGGGAGAAAAGGCCACTCCAGAGAAGCTTCTGCGTGAAGAAGCATGTGCCGAGTCGGAGGAGTTTGAGGACGTACACTCGTACGTTGTGCAACTGACGCCAGTATTCGGCATGACTCCATCAGGTGTGGCAACATATAGTTCGCAGGAGGAGTCGAGGAACTCCGACAGAAAGAAGACGGCACGCACCCCCACAAGCGTCGAGAAGAGTGGGAGTCGCCGCAATTTGGGGAGCGTGCGGGAGCACTGCAGCGTAAAAACAACGAAAGAGGTGAAAATGGAGAAAGAGGAAGAGGAAGAGGAAAGACGCGCTAAACGGTTTGAGAGACTTTGCCGCGCCTTGCGGCCAGTCTCAAACGAAGGCGCGTTTTTTTCAGGTGATAAAGCCTGCATTACGGGCTGCGGTGGCCATCGTCCCCTGCGAGATCACGATTACGGTCACCCTGCTTGTACCAACGAATTGGCTGGGTCTTCCCGCTGCCAAAAGTCCACGCAGCCAAAGAAGAAATTCCCGCCGTTGCCGTCGCCGTCTTTTTTAACAGTGGAGGGTCTTATACACACGCCCGAGCAGGCCGCATCGTTGGTGGGAAGTGAAGAGGCAGCGGACTCGCGGCCCATCGCCCTGTTCGCACCAGCGCGCTCTGTGTCACCGCCAGGGCTTTTTCCCGGCAACAGGGCCGAGGACAGCGGAAAAAATGTATTGAAAAGCCATGTCGGCGTACTGCCGGAGCGCTGCGTGAGCAACCGATCGGCGGTGAGGGCGTTTGCCCACGAAATCTCTGATATTGTACACGCACTGAGAGAGAGCAACTGGGCGAAGATTTTGTAAGCTTTTCATTTAGATGTACTGTTAGATTGGTTTTGGACTTGTGTATATGTGTACGTGTGGGCGGCTGTTTCAGAGTCTAACCGAGTTGTATATTTGAATATGAAAGGAAAAAAAAAAAAATGGAAAAACAGAGGGACGGTGTCCTTGACGGGCCTATTCCGGAAGTGTGAATTGGGGTAATGGTATACTGAGACGCACGGCACTGCGTGCGGCCACTAAGGAACTGTTCTACATACAGACATATGGACGATTGCGCGCGTATGCGTTGCCTGGACAAACACATGCACCCATCTCCCCTGATTTGCCTTTTGCTCTTTTTCCTTCCTTTTCTTTTGAGATACGTGTAGTGAGATTTGCTAGGTGAGAAAAAAAAGGAACAACCACTGCCTTCCCGTGACACGAGTGGGAATGACGGTCCCGCTGACTGAAGAGGATCTGCATGAACTGTACCTCTGGGTGGATGACATCCCCCTTTCTCGCCCGAAACGCAACATCACGCGTGACTTTAGCGATGGTTGCTGCGTGGCAGAGGTGGTGAAGTTCTTTTTCCCGCGGCTGGTTGACCTGCATAACTACACCCCTTCGATGTCAATGAAACTAAAGCGGGACAACTGGGAGACTTTGAACAACCGCGTTTTTCGCAAGCTTCACTTTGAGGTGCCACCGGAGGAGATCAACGACATCACGGCGGGCGTGCCAGGGGCGATTGAGCGCTTCCTTCGCGCTCTTCGGACGAAGATTGCGCAGATCAAGGCCCGTCGCGAGAAGATGAGTGCGCTGGAGATGGGTCATGGCGGCAGTGACGATGAAAACAACGACGGGGGCGATGATAGAGGCGGTGGTGGTGGTGGTTGGACGACGTCGGGGAGGCCGTGGGCGGCGAAGAGGCAGCCAAAGTACCCTGAACACCGTCCAGGAAGTGGCGTGGGGGCCGATCCCGCGGCGTATCGGTCGCCCTCTAACGTGAGGAATGTTTCCGAGATGCAACCGAGCAACCAGAGCAGTAGAGATAATAAACGGAACGATAACGGTGACGACGCCACCACGAGCTTTCGCCTGCTGCTGGATGAGAAGGACCGCACCATTTTTGAGCTTCGCGAGACAGTCAGCCTGCTGAGCGAGAAGGTAACGAAACTGGAGGAGTTGGTCCGTGTGAAGGACGAGAAGCTGAATGCCTATCGAGAGAAACTTGGGCGCCATTGAGGATTTTTTTTTTCTTTTGGAGAAGTCGGAGCCGAAGGTGCGGATATTTGCACGCCGACAAAGGAGAGTCTCAGTGAGGTCTAGCGTTGTCGCCAATAGAAGCAACGGGTGCTTTTTTGTTCTTCTTGGGCGTGGGACGGAGAACCTCCGATGCCTTTTTACCCTTGCAAAAGGAAAAATAGCGTCCGCATTTTTGCGTTGAACACACTGCGACACCCATACGCGTCAAGAAACACAAACAGCGGGAGAGATGTGGGTTGATCTTCTCTCCATCTATTTTGCCCATGACACCTTTTGTGCCTCGCATGTGTGCATTCTCTCTCTTATTCTTTTTCTTTTTGTTTTTTGCCATTTACTATTTGGCCCAAGCGAATCGGAAAGAATTGAAAGCTGGGTGTTTTCTTACTGGTTTAATTGGCCGCCGCTGCTGCCGCCTGATAACGAACGATAATGAGTGCCCGTATTCAGGTTCCTTTGTCGCAGCGGCGTCACACAAACGTTGCCGTTGTGCGCTACACAAAAAATGGTGTTAGATTGGAGATTGCCTGTTACAAAAACAAGGTGATATCGTACCGCGGCGGAATTGAGACACGCATGGACGAGGTGCTTCAGGTGGAGCGCGTTTTCACCAATGTCTCCCGTGGTCTATATTCCTCCGAGAAGGAGATTGAGGCCGTTTTTGGGAAGGGAACAAGCGAAAAGGAGGCACTGCAGTACATCCTTGATCATGGTGAGCTGCAGGTTGCTCAGCAGGAGCGAGCAGCGGAGATAGATCAGATGTTCATTGATATTGCGGTCATCATCTCACAAAAATGCGTGAACGAAGTTACACAGAGGCCTTTCCCCAGTCAAGTCATTGAGCAAGCGTTGCGTTCTATCGGTGCCGCAGTCAAGCTGGATCAACCGGTGAAGAAGCAGGCGCTTGCATTTATTCATCAACTCATAGATGCGAAGACCATTCCCATTGCGCGTGCGCGGATGAAGCTGCGCTGCATCGTCCCGGATGAGCCCTCGCTAGAGAAGCTTGTTGAATGGTGTGAGATAAATGGGACCTCCATCCTTCAGAAGGTCGTCGAAGCTGGAGGATCAGACGCCGCATTGCGAATACACTCGCTCCTGATTCTCTTGCAACCACATCTGTTTCGAGACATTGAAAGGTTTGTTAAGACTGAAATGCCACCGGGGTGGATCAGTGCACGTAATTGAGAACGCCGCCATGGATGTAGGCGAAGGGTGATGTGATGGACGCCGAGCTTTATTGCGCGGGCCAACGCCCACATGACAGGGGCCGGTGGAGTAGGGAACGCCGATAAGAGCCATTGCACCGGTAGCAGTAGCAACCCTCACGCCGAAAGCAACCGGGGCAGAAGGAAGGGGAAGGGGGGCAGTAGGAAACCGCAAGGTGTGCAACGGGTGTTGGGTAATGACGACGGCACCGATCAGCAAACCGTCACCACGGCTGAGCTGTCATCCACACCCGCGGTGGTTGGCGAGAACGACGACGAGTTGAAGGTGGCCCTCAGCAAGTTGGTTCTTGACGAAACGCATGGGTCTCGTGACGAGGATTATGACGGGAAGGGTAGGCGCGGCAAGAAGAAGGCGAAGAGACACCAGGGAGAACCACACCAAAAACAACAGCAGCAGCCGGCCACTCCTCAAAAGGCGGTGGAGGTTGATGAGCAGAAGGAGAGCGATGAGGAGGTTCTAGTGAACCGAAAACAACGCAAGCAGGCGGCGGCGAGGGTGAAGGTGAAGGATGACAAGAGAAATGAATACTGGAATGACGCTGATGATGATGATTACGACTGCGGTTATGAAGATGAGGATGCAGGGGAAGGACGAGACTGACGCGAATCAGTTGGAAGAGGCTTTATGATGCAAGCAAGATGGAGTTCCTGTTGGCCATTTTTCATTTGGCACAGCCTCTCAAACCCACGAGTAGGGAATTGAGGAATACACTGTTTAGCCGCTTAAAAGTGGATCAATAAAAGAGAAGGAATGGTGTCCACGTGGAGAAGAATAAAAAATTAAGAGAAATGTGTATGTCTATCTATCCATATATATATATATATATATATGCATATGAATACGCTCCAGGGGCAGCTATGCGATTGGCTGCTGCTTGCGCCGTAACTCTTTTCTTTGTTTGTTTTTCCATCTTCTTTTGGTGCATTGCACAAGTAGAAAAATCTTGGAGCTCACAGACTCCATTGAAAAAAATGTGGAATGCGCTTAGTTGCCTTGAGGCGCCGCCACTGGTGGGGCCAAAGAAGGTCGACACACCAGCTGTCGTCGTTCCTGTGAGTGCATGCGAGGAGCCGCCAGCTGTTTCGGAGGCGCATTTCGCTGACGCTGCCCAAACTGAAGCTGTGGTTATAGAAAAAAAGTCCGATTTTTGCGAGGAACCGCCGACGCATGCTGATGTTGCTACACTCGGTGATGCCTCAACAGAGTGGGATGCGTTTTCTCGGCGTCGGTTGGGCATTGCGTTCCATCGTGGAGCTGCAGTTTTACCGGGGTTCCCCGTTCTGCAGCGCGAGTTGCGCGCCAACACGCCGCATGACAGCCCCTCACGTCAAGTGATGGACGTTGATTTGTGGAACTCGTACTGGTCTGCGTTTTCCGATCGCTTTGCCTCCCAAATCGATTATTTGCAGGAATACCTGAAAGCCCATGATGGGGAAAGTGAACGCCGACGCGTTCTGGTTGCAGCATCGCTGGACGCGGAGCCATACATGGAGTCTTTTAAATGCAGCCTCACTGCCTACGCCCGTTCATTTGGAGCGCTGGAGCACGTTAGCAGGGAGCGCTGTGTTGTGATGTTACAGTTTACCTCTCCTCGTTCCGCGGAGATTTTTGCCGCGTGGGCCTTTTCGCTCACCCTGGAGGACATTTTTACTGAGGCCGATGCTTCTCAGCAAGCCGGCGCCCACTGCCAGTTGCTGGTGCGTCTGATTTCCCATGATGCTGGCAAGATCACATCAACGCTCAGGTGGGGAAGCAACATTGTGCTTTCCACACCGTTTGTGGAAAGCCTGTTCAAGGGTGTCTTTGACGCCGTGAGCGTCACCTATCATGATGGCTCCTTCCTGATTCTTTTTGCGTCCGACTATGCGGCAAAAACGGCCCTCCACTCTTTGCAGCGGTCGCTTTTGGAGGTGTTCGGGACGACCCTGAGCTTCTCAGAGCAGCAACCTGAGCTTGGTGGGAAAAGTTTTCTCATGGATAAATTGGGCAGCGAGAGCAACTTGCCAAGATAAGCGGTTGGGTGCGCGGGTTCTTCTCTAATTGTCTGTGTTCGTGTTTACCGTGAGTTTGTAATGTACCCCGCTATTTAAGTTAGGCCAAGTGGACTACATGATCGCACTCTGTGTACCATTTGCATTTAACTTCTTATTTATCTTTCGTGGGTTTATGCACTTTTCTGCACATCTTGCAAGGGAGGTAAGGGTGCTGGAACGATGATTAGATTGACGCAGCTCAAAAACAATGGTGGAATCAAATTTCGCAGGCGCACTCGGCGTACTTTGGTCATTTTGGTGGCAGCACTAGGAGCATTGGCATGGATAATTGCGGTGTCACTGTTACGTCACTTGGGTGGTAGCGCAACTACCGAGACGGCTGTAAAAACGTCATCGACGCCTGTGACACGGAGCCGAGATCCTACTGCTTCTACCAATGCCAATACTGGACGCTCCAGCCCCATGTTTGTGAAGGGGAATATTGCGCAAGGAGAAAACTCAATTAGTCTCCCCCATCTCTATCCAATGCACCGCCATCTACCCGCCAATCGCTCTGCTGTCGTCGAGGCGATTCAAGAGAAACAGATGCGCCGTCAAGAACACTGCTGGGTAACGGCTCCTCATTCGCCGCTATTTCCATCACCGTCAAGTGTTGGAGCTACCCTACTCCGACCTTTGCACGTTGAAACAGCAGATACGATGCTACAGCAGGAGTATTTTTTTGCTCGTCAAAAACCGACAGGTTCTGTGAGCACTGGCACATTTTACTCGGGGTACGATACCCCACCAACTGCAGCTAACGGAACTGCTTTCCCATGGTGGGTTTCAAAGAAGTCCCACCACCACTTGCCGTGCACCGCGGAGGTACAGAAACGTCTCCATGAGTACCAGAACGAGGCCCCGTGTAGCGCCCGAAGATTTCTTCTCTCGGGCATTAAGGAAGGAGGACATGGTCTTGGTTCTTCGCTCATTGTTATTTCTTTTGACTTTCTCGGCGCCTTAAGGCTTGGGAGGACCTTGTTGATTGTTGCCCCAAAATCAGATAAAAAATGGCAATTTGTTGCTCGCGGATGCCTGCGGGCTGGAAGAAGGTCCTTGGATTGCTTTTACCTTCCACCATCGCGGTGCAAGTTGCCAGGTGGGTCTGTGCGTGTGGTGCACAGGGGGCGCGATGCTGCAAGTATTTCTTCCCGCGTGATACGCAAATACTCTGTTGATATCCCTGGTTTGGACCGGAACACAATACCGTCGGATGAGGCCTTCTTTGGTCCGGGTCACCAGCAGTGGACTTGCTTTTCACGGTACCAGAAGTGGGTGAAGAACCCTGCAAACATGGCAGTCTATGGCACATTTGAAAAGGGAATTGACGCGCGGCTCTCTTTTATGCTAGCACAGGTGTTTACATACCTTACGCGTGCCCCGCAGCCGTGGTTTCAGGCCATGATAGAGTACCACCTCTCGCCTCTCGGTCTAATTGCGCCGCACATGGTGCGTGTTGACCCCACTCCCAGAAATCGCTGCGTAGTTTACGTTCAGGATCGCGGTGAGGTGGCCAAAATGCGGGAATATTACAACGTTTTTGGTTGTCACACTGTTGGGCTTTCAATTTACAGAGACTATGTGGCTGCCATTAGCACTTCTTCAAAATCAGCTCCCTCTCAAAATTCCTGTAGGGTCTTTGTAAGTGGTGGGACGCCGCGCCAGAGCTTTTTATGGCTTAAGAAGGAATTTGAAGACGACTCCTACGAGGTCTTGAGCACATGGAACCTTTCTACACTTAAAGCTGGATCCGAGTCGACACGATGGGGGGCAAGTTCTCCTGCTTCATCGTGGGTGGATTTGTATGCTGGAGTTGCAAGTACCAATTGGATCTGTGCGGTACAATCGAATTGGTGTCGAATGATTAATTTTCTCCGCTTGACCCATGGGCGTGTGGACTGTGGCTTTATAGACATTGGTGTTTTGATGTTGACTTCTGTCGAAGCTCGAGAGAAGTACTGTGTCATATCTGACTTTCCAACGAAACCCTTTTCGAACGTTATAAGGCGCTAAGCTCCATTTATTTTCGGGACGTTTTTCCTTTCTGTCAACCTACCGGTGTCTTTATGGGAAGTTGGAACTGTCAATTGAACAATGACGCCTTTGTCGTTTTTGCTTCTTGTGGTGTCACATCGTCATTTTATGCGAGTCTTTTTTTTTCTGTGTGTGATTTTTCTTCGGTTTCTCTTTGATTCCTCAAGGAAAGGTGTCGGTACTGTGGAGGGGAGAAACGGCCCTCTTTCTTCTCAGGTGTGTGCATTTCCGTGTGGTGTGCCTTCATGGCCCGAAGCGACACTACTGGTGTCACACGACGATGGAAGTTTAGGAGAAGTGTTATTGTCTCTGGTGATAGCACGTGCTGGCTGAGCGCGGCGTGTGCCATCTCGTTGGCTACGTCGCCCATCTTTGCTCCCAATGCGCCTGGTGATCCCAAGAGCATCGTTGTCATGAACAGATTTGATGTTTCACGCGGTATTCTTTATGGAGATAAGTGCCAGGCCATTGGGAGCTGTACGAGCTCCTCGTTTGCCGCGTTCGAATCCTTGTGTCGGGATTTGACAAAAGGAGTGGAGATTATGAAGCATGTGGCATTTGCAGTGGACGCACCACAGATGAATGAGACGGAGTGCTTCGTAGCGGATGTGCAAAGCGACCTGTATATTTATATTTCCGCGTGGAGTGACGCAGACAGTTGTGGTCACGCGCCTCTTTCCTCTCTTGCTTCCCTTCGCAAAAGCGGTGGATATCTTGTTATTCTTTGCGATGGCGCCACGCAGCGCTCGGCATGGGAAGCCGCACAGACGCACCTGCCTGGATGGACGGTGCTCGGCTTCTGTGTTCCTTCCTTTGCCCCACCTTCGTTTGATCTCCACCTCACGCGGTCTTTTGTGCGTCGGTGCCACGCAATGAAAGGGATACTTGAGTGTGTTTCTCTTGGTGTAGCTATGGGAACCGTAAAGCACCTGCCTTTGGGTTTTCGCGATCCTCTACGTGTTGTTCCGCTGGATGTGGCGCTCATCACTGCAATGACGGCTGTGCTGCTCCACAAGGATAATGGGCTTGGGTTTATTTCTGCAGATGCTGCCATGATGAAGTTGGGATGCGCGGCTGATAACGTGTTGGTGTGGGGAATGGTTGCTGAATACCTGATGGACTACTATGGCCGAATTGGCCCGGCGGCATTAGGGGACCTCCCGTTTCCACAGCTGCTTGACACGCAACCCACACTGCAGCTCAGTGCCAACGTCTCAGACTGGGTCAACTACGGAGTCTCCCTGATGATGCCGTTCCGCTGCTATTATGCACACCAGGTAACACAGCGCCGGAAACGAATTCTGGGTGAACTGCCCGATTCGACGACCACGGAATACATCCGTGGTGCCCTTGGCAGCATTGACGCGGCTGTAAAATGCATTACAGCGGTGGCAGCGGCCCGTGTGTCACCTTCTCACGCCGTGGATTATTCAGATGCCGCCAAACCACCATCCGCATCCGTCTCATTTAACGAAACTGACTACCAGCTGCTGCTGCAAATTGTAACGCGGGACGCGTCCCTTCGAGAGCTGCTCCCACTCATTTTACTGAGGAACGTTCAGTGGGATCTTTATATCAAAGTCATCGCTCAGGCAGTTTTGGAGGGCGTCGCACTGCAAATTTTTAAGCGGCCCCTGTCTTTACCTCCGCCCGTTCCCTTATACCATAATGACATTGTCTTTCATGGAACGCGTAGAGTGCCTTCAACTTCCTTAATTCCCCGCAGATGGTTTTCCGATGTGCACTGGACTGCGCGAGTTGGAGTGAAACCCGATGGGGAGAGGTTTGCCGCCTCGCCAGGGCTTACAAAAGAGTCCATGTCACGCATCTTGGCCCACCCAAGTGTGTTACGTATTATGGGTGAAGTGGCAAAAAATGAAAATTCTTCAGAAGGTGCCGTCCGAGAGCGTGCCATGGCAATTCTCCGTACAGTTGGGGACAACCTTAATCATTTTCAGCTACGTCTATTTGGATTCTTTGTACGCCGTGTACTTTTTCGTTTGTACGACGAGGTGAGTCTCAACTCTGGAGCCTTTAAACGTCTGTATAATCTGGTGAACACACCACGCGTGGGGGTTGTATTGCTTCCGTCTCACCGCTCCTACGTGGACTTTATTATCATGACATATCTGCTTGTGGTGATGGGTTTCTCACCGCCCCATGTTTGTGCAGGCGACGACTTCCTACGAATGGGGCCTATTGCAAGGCTCATGCGTGGCAGCGGTGCTTTTTTCATGCGTCGCTCATTTCGTGATGACCAGCTGTATTATACGCTTTTCAGAGAATATGTTAGACAACTGGTCCTTCGGCGTCGGACGCTGGAGTTCTTTATTGAGGGCACACGAAGCAGGACCGGCAAGACGCTTTGCCCAAAGCTTGGCATCCTCCGGTTCATCACGGATGCCTTTCTCGAGTCAAAGGGGGAGTTGGACGATGTGTACTTTATCCCCATCAGCCTTTCCTACGACGAGCTCTTGGAGACCAGGCTGTACGCGGATGAACAGTTTGGTGTGTCAAAGCCAAGTGAGAACATGGGCAACTTGTTTCGTGCGCGGTCGCTACTAAAGACGCGTCATGGCAAGATTCACGTGTACATTGGCGAGGCGTTTTCATTACGTCATTTCCAAGACCAACCGCTTCAGTGCCCGGCGCCGTTTGAACCGCGGGGAGAAAAGGATTTGGACGCTTCGCCCCGAAAGAACCGCATAACACCACCGCGAGTACTTTTGAACTTGGCTTGGCATGCCACGCACAGCATTGAAGAAAACACGGTCGTCACGCCCACGGCGCTCGTCGCCATGGTTCTCAATGTTTTTGCACCAACGGCAGGAACTGTGCCATTGGCGGAGGTTTACAGGCATATGACATGGCTGCATACAAATATTGTAAGGCGAAAAGGTGCTCTGAGTGACGATTGCGCGAACAGTGACGTGGAAACAATGACACGTAAAGGAATCACGCATCTCCAAGAATTTGTTGAGGTTTTGAGTGATGATGCAGAGAAAATTAGGGTTCGCCAGGATGTCGGATCCTTCATGGGAATCACCATCTGCAGCAACCAGCTTGTTCACGTGTTTCGGGATGAGGCTGTGGTTGCGGTGGCCGCCCGAATGTATGGTGAAGTTCAAGCCGCAGGAAACGTGTTACGTGTGGAACGTCAACATTTGAAGGAAGGGTGTCGGCAATTGCGTCAATTGCTCTCATCGGAGTTTCAGGATTATCTTCCTTTTTGCCCTTACACGTTTGATTCATGGTTTGAACACACCCTTTTACGGCTTCTTTCTTGCGAGGAGTCGAATACTGAAAGCGAAGTCTTCTTGAGCCTTGGCGGCACGACGGCCGAGGCCGAGAAGAGGAAGCAGGATAAGGGCGATAATTTGTCTATTGAGCGCCCAAATAACGTTTTTATACCAATGACGCGGCTTTATCGTTTCTTAATAGCTACTCTTTCTCCATTCATGGAGTCTCTATTTTTTGTTTCCCTTGCCTTGAGTGCCGTTGTTGAGCCCGGGTCTGAAAGGGTGGTGTACAAATGTTTGCTGTTGAAGGCCTGTCAAGCATGCATTTTGGAACTGTACGACGCCAAACGAGTTGCGCACCCACAGTCCGGCGGCAGCGGTTTGCTCAAATCCGCTCTGGAGGGCATTGCCATGCTGCACGGCGTCGAAATTGACCCGGTCGCGAAGGAAGCGGCGTATTTGATTCCCGCAACGGCTGACCGCACCGTGCTGTTGGAGCGACTGCAGCAGCTCATGCGGCACGTGTGTGACATGCGCTCATCCTCCCCTAATTTGTTAAGGGGGAAGGAACAGAAGAAAGCGCGGGAAGACATACTGAAGGAATATGTGAAGCAACTAAAAAGGATGAAGCGGCCATCAAAAATGTGAGGAGCACCAGAAAAAGAGGAAGGGAATGTTGCCGCACAAACAAACAAACAAACACACACACACACACACAAGGAAACGCACGCAAAAATGGAGGGTGGAGACTCTTATTTCATAGTTTTGTGAGACAATTGTAACAGTCATGTGCAGGTCCCAATATATGTGTGTATGCCACCGCCCACGCTCCCTTTTGCTTATTTTTTATTAATGTACCCTCTTCGCGAGTTGACGGTACTGTGGGGCCTTTGGAGGGAATTGGGTGTGAAGACTGGTTGAGTGGTCGCAAAGCTCTTTTGTTTTTCGCTTCTCCCGTTTTCACTCGCCACTCTCCACCCACCCGGCGTCTCATTTGTTTTTCTGTTGTTGTTTTCTGCATGCTTTCTTTGTGTTGCCCTTGCCGCCAGCACGTCATTTTCTCGAGGCACGTGGAGGCACAGCCAAAGAAGAAGGAAAAAATGGAAAAAAGAAGAGAAAATCAAACGATTTTTGCGAGCAAAAAACCCCGAACAAAAAAAAAAAATTGATGTTTTGGGAGATACACATGCAAATACAAAAAGAAACGTGTACGCCGGGGAAAGAGACGGCGACCAAGAAACATACACATAAAAAAGAAATAAAATTAAGAAAAGAACGCGTCTGAAGATCTTCGGAATAAATACGAGAGCGGAGCTAAGTGGCGGATACAAACTGTCTCTCTGTGTTCATCTCGAATGGGCATCTCTTCCACAATTTGATGGATTGAATGTGTTCTTGCAATGGGTTTTTTTGGGGAAGTTCCATGAGCCCAAGTGTGTTTGACCTTCTTTGTGTGACTGCATGGGTTTTCTTCTCTTTTCATTTCTTTTTCTGTTTACTGCTTGTGGTTGTTTGGGGTGGCGCGAAAGAGTAACGAGCATTCGGTGACCTCTCGGCGTCTGTGGCGTGGACAGGCGTGGCATAGGCGTGAAAAAATGGAGGAGGGAGAAAGTTGCGGGAGCTTGCTACCGCAGATGCCCTCATTGCTTCATGGTTTTAAGTTGTTGCGCGCGACCTTGTGGTATATCTGTTTCCCGGAAGAAGTTACGGTGTACATTGATCCCATAATTCGTTTTATTTTCACGGTCTACCATCTTCCCCCAATCGCACTTGTCCTGGCGCTCACGCACAGCGGGCTTGAGCGCATTGTCTGGGTGCTTATTGTCCCCGTCGCACAACAGATGGAAAAGCAGCCCTATGACTCCTCGTGTATGACGACATTTATGCTTGGAATGTACCATATTTTTCTTCTGATTTTGCCGTACTCGACGTTGGGGGTTGCCGTGGCAACACTTGGTCATAAAGTTCTTCATTGCTTTCTGGAGACGATGGTGGATGCTCACTCGACGCACCAGGGAAAGGATTACCCACTTTTTGCAGCTCGGCTACGATTTATCATGCAAGACAGGCAGAGGTATTATGTCTTTCTTGTTGTTTTATTTCTCCTTGTTTCTGTGGCACTTTCAGGACTGCATACTGACCTTCTTGTGGCATGGCCCGCACGTGAGCCTTGGGTGGTCACCGGTGCATGGTGCATCATTGCTCTGCAAGTCTCCTTTGTATGGGGATCTGCAATCAGTCATCCGGAATTACCTCCTCACCCTTTCATCTGGAGACGCATTGTGGGGATTGGGGACGGTGAATTTGCTCGGTTTTTTTGTGGTACGTGGTGGAAATCGTACATTCATTACATGCGTTACATTGCAATTGAAATGGTTGCTTTGATTGCCTTTGTAGCCCTCTTCTTTCGTGGGCCTTTGTACGTCCTATCATCCTCAGTGGAGCTTGTTATGTATCTAAATATGCCTCATCTTGTGGGGCATACCGTGGTTTCTATTTCAGTCTCCATTATTAATATTCAATGCTCCTTAAAGTGGTTAAGAAGGCATTCTGACGCCGTTCTTCCGGTCATATTTATTGCTTCTCCTTTCCAACTGTTGTTGTTTCGGGCCATGTTTTACTTCCGCCATCACCGGATGACCGTTTTATTACTTATTGGCGTGAATGTTCTTTTTATTCAACGTGTCATTGATCTGGTACGGGAATTTGATGTAACGGAGGCGGGATCCGTTTATTGGAAATATGTCGATAAGGATGAGCCTATTCCACCATATCTTTCTGTCATTTTGGAGAATGCGTATGAAACGAAATCGTCCCATATTGACGTCGCAAGCCTTGACTATTTGATCGACATTAAGGCCATGAAAATCCATCGTGATGGGGAGGAGGTGGATCTTGAGCGGAAGCAGATTACCGAATATGGAAACGCCCATAGTTTCATTTGGGATGGTCGGTTCTATGCGTATACCGTTCCTAGAATGATTTCCGTGCAAAGTTCTAGACACTTTGGTGGCAAGCACTTTCGTCGAGTGTACGTTTTGCTTCGCATGATTACAAGTTGTTGTTTGATGGCCTTTACAGCCCTTGTGATGGGTCTTCTTTTCCAGGCGGCCTTTCCACAGCTGCACCCGTTGCCGGTTCGTGTCTCCGTCTCGGCGGACGGCAATGCATTGACCGTCGACCACATTGTGTTACGCATGCACCTCCTTTCTGGTCAAGCGGATGTGACGCCAACTCTTCCTATTGCATCTTCGGCCATGGGGTCCGCCTCGGCTGCCTTCAAGTGGCACAACGCCACCTCCTTGGGGGAGGACTGGTACTCCTCGTTGTGTGCGAGGACTTTCCATGACATTTCCATCTGGGAAATCTCTCTGCTCGCACTGGCCTCGTACCTCTCCAATGATGATGAGGTCAAAGAGATGCTGGACTTCATGTCGATGCACATGGGTAGCGACTGGGTCGTCCGCGAGCGTCACGGAACAGATTGCATCTCTATTGACTCCTCCACGCAGCCAACTGGGTGGGATGGGTATTATGATTTTTATAGTGCCAAGCATGATATGTCCATCATTGCTGTTAGTGGAACAGACATGACGTCATTTCGGGATTTTCTCATAGATGTGAATTTGTTTTTTGAAGTTGTTTTGTACCACCTGCTCTCAAATATTATTCCAGGAGCTGTCATCCTTCCTTCAGAGCTCATTGCAGATCTCATTCGTCTGGCGTCTCTTCCTGCAGCCAAAAACCGAGAGTCCGAGACATGGGAAACATTGGTTTCCAGCCGGAACACAAACCTTCGCGTCTGTGAGAATAATAACTACAGAAGAGATTACTTTGCCGATGTTTACAACCATCTTGCGTTCGTAGGAAGCCGTCCGAATCCGCCGAAGCACGTTCTTCTTACGGGTCACTCCTTGGGTGGCGCTGTTGCGTCTGTCATTGGTTCGCGGATGGGCATTCACGCTGTCGGCTTTAGCGCCCCTGGCATCTCACTCTCACGCAAGAAGTTTGGCATTGACCTTGAGAGCATTCATAAATTTGTGACACGTGTTATCTCCTCGCATGACATCTTTCCCATGATTGGGGGCAGCGGAGGGGAGGAGCATCATGTCGAATGCCTGGCGAAGACGCGAGAGCTCTGCCACGCCATGGAGTTTCTCGTGGGAACATTATGGCGATCATGTGGCTCCATTCGAGCGCGCTACCCCTCGATCCATTCAGTTGTTTAGGCGATATTGCACCACCAGCACCTCCTTCTTCAAAAAGGAAAAGAGGTTAGTGGGTAGCGAAACAAGGAAGAAAAAAAAGGATGGGAGTCACTCACTCAATAAGAGCGAGATCTTCACACATTGCTCTAATGTATATATATATATATATATAGTTTTATATATTAATCCACCTTTCCTTCTCTCTTCTTGATGCAGTTGTTTACCCTTTGTCATTTAGAATTTTATGTTAAAAAAAAATATATATAGGTTCAATGGCCCACACACTTGGTAGAGTAGCACGTGCCCTGGCAATACGCCGCTGGTCGATCCCCTTAGCCTTGTGCCAACAACAACAAGAATCCCGTGAGGGAAAACAAATGAAACCCTCCTTTTTTCGGGTCGGCCGTGGTGCTGCGCATGATGGCGAGTGTCACCACCATTTATTGCGTCACTGAAGTGCAATTCGCCTCTCAATGCGTCCCAGTTTGGCCTCCCAGGACCACGTTGCTTTGTATTCGCAATCACCCGCGGTGGATTGGTTGCTTCTGTCGTCTCTTGGGAAATAAACGAAGGCACGTCTGTACGCGATGAGGTATTCGTGGTAAGCACTGATAAATAAACTCCATGCGTGTAGGAGCAATTTTCTCTAAAGTGAATGTTTATTATTTATTGCCATGGTGCCTAAACATTGTTACCTGGTGATTTGATTACATTTGCAGCATGTTTGCTTTCGTTTGTTATTCTGCATTATGTATGTGTGTCTGTGTTGTTGTTGTTTTAGTTAAGTGGAGCAGGAGGGATTTTCTCTTTTTAGTTATTTGACTTGTTTCGGAATAGCTGGATTGGGGTGGATGCGTTGTGGAGGTCGTTGGATTGTGGAGCGGAGTGATGGATTTGTTATTGAGGTTGAAAAGCCTGGTGTGTCTGTTGTATTTGGGAGGGACATAGGACTCCCGTCCGCGCAGAGGATGGATGGCAAGTACGTCTCTCGTCAGCAATTTTCCGTGGAGTGGAAAGCATCCTCGCTCCACGTTCGGCAGCTTGGGAAAAATCCAACGTTTTACTCGATGGAGTTTCACACGCTTCCAGGTGACGGAACTGCGGAAAAGGAACTGGTTTGCTGCCGCGAAGAGGAGACGAGGGAAGTAAAGCGGATGGGTGACGGTAGGAAGGGTTTGAACGTCATTTTAGTACCACCCGTGAGCAATGAAAAATTTTTGGCCTCTTTGCGAGGTGGTGCAAAGGGCATTGAGCCCGCCACGCTTCACTTCCCGGGGGAGTTAAATTTGCCCCGTTTTACTGTGCGATATGTTGTTGCCGATGAAAAGAGCAGTGAGGAGAAGACCTCGCGTGAGATGCTCACTGTCCCACTTGGCTCCTCAAAAAGCGACGAGGTGGAAGATGATGAGCGTGCTAACCAACCTTGGATGACCGGAAGTTGGCGGGGGATCCTTGATTCGGTTCTCCATGAGCAGCAGCAGCAGGCGGAACGATGAGGGGAAAGGAAGGGGGATACATTTTTTGAGGCAGTTCTTTCTTATCGTTTTGGTTTGAATTTTCCCGTCTCGGCGAAGAATTTTGTGGGCGAGCGGTGCCATGCGCATTTATTATTACTGTTTGCCCTCTGTTTTGAGAGCATTCCTTGTAATATAATATACATATACATTAAATACACATAATATGTTTGTCTGGACAAACTGTGATATCTTGAAAGAACTATTGCAATAGATGCCCTTTCTTCTTTGATGCTCTATGCAAATATGTATATATATATATATAGGTTTGTTTGTTTGTTGTTGTTGTTGTTGTTTTTGATTCAGGGAAGAAGAGATTTTGTTTATTGAACGGTAAAGGGGACGTGAAAGAAGGCTAAGTTAGTGACTGATTGCGAGTGTGTGTGTGCGTGTGTCATTGCGTGAAGGACGAAAAGAAATAAGTAAAAGAAGAGTGAAACGAAACGTACAGGGGCAATAAAACGAGGGGTGAGAGTAAAAGAGAGATGCCAAGCACACCCACCCCGCAGTGTGTGCGGCGGTTGCAAAAGGAGCTTTCCGCCCTATGCCGAGAGGCCGAGTCGTTTTTTTTCACCCGTCCCTCAGCAAAGAGTATTCTGGTTTGGTATTTCGTCATCAAGGGTCCTGCGGATACCCCTTATGAAGGCGGTCGCTACTTTGGCAAGCTGAATTTTCCCCCCGACTATCCAATGAAACCGCCTGAGATTATCATTTTGACGCCAAATGGACGTTTTGAGACCAACAAGAGCATTTGTCTCACCATGAGCAATTATCATCCGGAGAATTGGAGCCCTTTGTGGGGGGTCCGCACCATTCTTACGGGGCTGCTCTCATTCATGGTGGGAGACGAACTCACTACTGGGTGCATGACGAGCAGCGATGAGTTGCGGAGGAAGTACGCTCGTGAGAGCCGTCGTTTCAATGCAGAGAAAATGCCAGTATACAAGGAACTGTTTCCTGAGGAGTATCAAAAGGATTTGGAGGAATTGAAGCGAGAGGACACTGAGAAAAACGGTCGTACTTCTGGAAGTGCTGGTTGTGGTGCGAATACGAAAGGAGGAGGTGTGATGGAATCGCAAGAAAAAGAGCAATGGCGTGGGTTATTCCCGGCACTTTTGGGACTTTTTGCTGTGTTAATGGGAGCCTACTTTTGGCCATGGTAAGTTGTGTTGAGTTTCAATATTGTTTGCGGATATATATATATATACCGCTTGTTGTTCCCTATTCAGTGAGGCGCTTCCAAAAGGAAATTGCGACCAGGCGAAGCTAAATCAGTAGGAGTGAGTCTCTTGTTTCAGCTCCGCCGTTTCTCTACACTCATTGCTTGAATCCTTTTCTTCAAAGGTACCACGTTGCACAGCAGGGTGTGCAGCTCTCTCTCTCTCTTTTTTTTTTTTTTTTTGTCGTTCCACATACTCACCTTCAGCCGTTATTCAGGAAGGGATTGGAATTACGGCGGTTGCAATGGGCCCCTTTATAAAGACTTCCACTTCACGCGTTCCCAACGAAAATGGTTATTGTGTGAGCGACATGCCTTTATGAACTCATTTGTTTCACTTTTGCGTTCTAAGCTATGAATACATTTTGTCGTGACTTTTTCTGCGTCTGTGATGTCGAGTGCACGAAACCAAACTCTCTTTTCCCCTCTCTTCTGTGTTTTTTATCATTTACCCTAGCAGTGTGTTAGCGCAACGCCTCTCATACAGACACGTTGCACGAAAAGATTCGAAAACTTCCTGACGGTGGTGGGGTTCGAACCCACGCCCCTAGAGACCAGAGCCTAAATCTGGCGCCTTAGACCACTCGGCCACACCGCCACCGTCCGAAAATGGAAACCCTTCAGGAAGCTGAAGAGCGCGTCTTGTTGAGAATGCACTTCAAAACGAATGTTCCGCGTCAGTCGGCATACCCAAGTGGTTACGGGGTTTGACTTGAAATCAAATGCGATCTCGCGCGCAGGTTCGAACCCTGCTGTCGACGGTTTTTTCCCAAGAAAAAAAAATGCGATCAGTGAGGCTCGAACTCACGACCTTGGGATTATGAAACCCACGCGCTGCCGACTGCGCCATGCTCGCCTCCGCGAGGAGGACAGCAAGCAAACTTGACATTTTCTTTAAAATGTTTTCCTCCTCACAATCTTTTGTGAGTTCGTCAACTCCGGTGTGGTATAGTGGTTAGAACAAGCGGCTCTCACCCGCTAGACCCGGGTTCAATTCCCGGCATCGGAATTTTTCCTGGACAGCGTCTCAGGTGTGAATGATATTTTTTTCAAATCAAATACTCCTTGTTGTTTTCGCCCAGCACGGCGAGCGAGCATGGCGCAGTCGGCAGCGCGTGGGTTTCATAATCCCAAGGTCGTGAGTTCGAGCCTCACTGATCGCATTTTTTTCCTGCGTTTTTTTGTTTTGCGAAAAGGTTCCTTCCGGCCGGAATCGAACCAGCGACCCTGTGATTACCGCCGAAGTTCTACAGTCACATGCTCTACCAATTGAGCTACAGAAGGTACGCTGGAGCGGCCACAACCATAAAGAGGTAAGAAAAGTAGTTGGCGATTTTTTTCTACCCTCAAAAATTGCACTGGAAGAAAGAAAAGAGGCTTTGAGCGCTGATGGTCTAGGTGGTTATGACGTCGCTTTAACACGGCGAAGGTCTCGGGTTCGAGTCCCGATCGGCGTACTTTTTTCCCATCCAGCAAAAAGATTTCTTCCATGAGCTTTTGAAGCCAGCTATACCGCGATCATTCCCTTAATTAATGTGTATATATCCTGATAAATGAATGCATTCTTTATGATTCTTTCCACCGTATGAATCTTTTGGGAAGAACGCGACTTTGTAGGGGCAGGGAGCCGATAGAGGCCAGATAAGATTCGTTTTTATTTTTTACAGACACACAGCCAGGTAAGTTTAAGGAAATGGCATTGGTTCCCTACACACCCTCCGAGTGGTGTGATATTGGCGCCCGTCTCTGGGACATGGTGTGCCAATGTGGCGAGACCCAGGTGCAGTTGACGTTTATTAATGGTAACCAGCTGTCGGATGAGACGTTGACCTTGGCCCCACCATCCACAGACTTATGCTTGTTCCATGGACCTGTATCTAAAGCTTGGCAGGATTCTACTATCATTGGACATATTGCGAACCTACGGGCGCCTCAGATCCCTAATTTTGAGACACACGCGCTCCTGCCCGCTATGGGGGCATCCCGGGAGTTGGGGCACCAACAAGGGCTCATCACTGCTGAAAGGGAGCGCCTGAATTTTGATTACGCGAACGCCGTCGCGGACGTGCAGAATCGAAATGCTCAGCTTAACTCGCAGTTTCAGGAGGCGCAAATTAACCTATTGGTAAGGGAATCCAATATCGCCGGGGCCGGCCACCAGGTCCTAGAACTACGACAGCAGTTGGAGGCCGATCGCGCCCAATTACGGGAGCGCGAATTCAACTTGGGAGTCCTCACTGGTCAATTCCAGGAACGGGAGGCACGCCTTAACGCACTACAACCCGCGCGGTATGCGGAGACGGCGGGGCGGGACGAGTCCCCCGCTACTTAACACGTTGCCAACGATGGCGTATCTACACTGCCGCATCAAACGGATATCTTGATGGCTGGAGGCGTGCCTAGCAGCGCGGCCCGACACAGCTCGGCGGCTTACAGGCCCCCTCACGGCAATGTTGGGAGACCACATTTCCACCCCTCCACGCCGTTGCCTTCCCGCACTTCTCCCCTGGACGCCCGATTGCCTATGGAAGAGGACCGCAGTTTCTGCGCATTCGACGTCACCAGGTAGCCCACGCATACATGGAATGAGGGCGCCTCCGGAGTCATTATCGACCTCCGGTGCGCACACCAATGCTGGCAACAGGACAACGAGCAGGTTAAACTTGCCTTTGACAATTTGGTCGAGTGGATCAGCGCGCTGGAAGGCCTGCAGGATCCCACCGATCGAATCACGAATTTGGGGAGGTCCCTACTGAATACATTCCTGACGCAGCTCACGATTGCATCCGATCCCGGCATCCGGCTTTCCAAACTGCGCGCCCGTCTTTACACCGCTGTTCGCCAGACGGACGCTTATGCGAGGGCAGCCCAGCTTTTCGTCGATCGGCGAGAAAACCAACGCACTGTGCGATGCCAACGTTGTCATATCTTTGGACACGAGGCGTCTACGTGCAATGTGCGCCCGAGAGGGAATTACTCACAATACAGGCGCCCTTCAAAAAACGGCCGAGGGGCTGCCGCACGCCACTCATGAATGCTGGCGACGGCAGCCCCATCCAATCCGCCACCTCCCACCAATCTTCACAGGCAGCGCACCGCGCCGCCGATGCTCCACCCTACATTTCAAATTGCCCGACGAAATCGTTGAGAAGGGCAATGGGGCTTATCCGTAAACGACGCTCGACTGTGGTACGACGAATTACCGACATCCCCGCTTTGGGCCAGTTATATGAGGAAAGCGAACGAGGTGGCTCGAGAGATGTGGGCGCCGTCAACGTGGGAGCGTGGAATGCCCCTAGCGGGGCAATTCACAACCTTTTGCCGCACGCACGAACAGCCGATGAACGAGGAGAGCTCTGCGGTCTTTTTGATGGCAATCGAAGTGGCGCCATCGACCCGACCGCAGTACGCCAGGATGCTGCGGTCCATGTTGGAAATGGATGGAGCCCCGCTGGACATGGTGATTCTGGGGTTGCAAAAAGCTGCTGTGCGATCGGAAACGAAGCAAGCGCGCCCCTTGACAAAGGAAGAGATGAATCAAGTAATCCGCAGCCGGACCGATTGGAAAGAAAGTGTTGTCTTCCGACTCGCGTGGATAACGGCGAGTCGTTGGTTTGGGTTTGCGGCCTTGACTCCCAACAATCCCACACTGGAGGCGGACGGGGCCTTAACTTTGGATTGTTCCGTGGCGCCGAAGACGGCGAAAGCAGATCCCCACCGCGCCTTGCGGTTTGTGAAGATACGAGGGCAGGACGTGTTCGACATTATAAAGCTATGCAGGACACTTCAAGAAAACGAAAAGCTCACGAATATCACGACTGCCCACGTCGAACGAGCTTTGGCTCCTTGGGATGCCACGGCGCATTCCATAAAACGGGGAGCGTTGCGGCACGCGGCTCAAATCGTGGAGGCACACAATTTGACCCACACGCGATCTCGCAGTTAGCGAAGCACGTCGACCCGTTCGACCTTTCCCAGAATACTGTTCGATATTTGGGGAAGCACACCACAATGCTGACCCAGGTGTCGTCGCTGGTCGCATCGATGTGAAGGGAGGAACGGCGGAAGGGCAAGAACCCTGGCTAAGAGCAGCGGAGCGTTTTTTCCATGATTTTAATCACAATCAGGCCGCTACAATAACGAGACGCGCCACAAGGACGCGTCTGGCCACTCCACAAGATGAACACGCTATCCCGTTACAGCAAGTCAACGTGCCCGTATTGAATCTAGAATAGATCAAAAGTCGGTTGAACCCGGCGACCTTGGAGAGACTCATGCAATTTTGGGGACTCGTCGGGCGGTCCCCTTTCCCTCCGTCTTCCTCCGGCAAGCGCGCGAAGGCTCACGGAGCATTCCAACCGCCGATGCGCATTTGTTACAAACAGCAGGAATAATCGAGGACGGTTCGTCCACAATAGCAGGCGGATGGATAATACCTTTCTCGGTTGTGGAGGAGAAAACCACCGGTTCACGACGACGATGGATCGCGTGGCCACGCGACAAGAACAGAGACGACCCTTACGAGGCTAATGCTCCTCTTTTGCTCATTTCCCATTATTTGCCGCCTGTGATGGCTGAGGCCGCTTCCTGCCTGGATGTGAAGTCGTCCTTTTTTCAAGTCTCTTTACCGCGGGAGACTCGGCATCTCTTTCGATGCCGCGTGGAGGACGGCACGCTGGTGGAGCTCACACGGCTCCCAGTGGGATGCAAGGCCAGCCCAGAAATTCTCCAGATTATTATTACTTCGGCAATTGCGGGGGTGACGACGGTGGCTCACCGCCTCTGGGCTGCACCTCCATTGGTGCGTGTCGACGTTTGGACCGATAATATGCGCATTGCAGGGCCGAAAAGCGATGTGACATTGTGGGAAGCCAAGTGCTTCTTAATGCGGCCGGCTGTCACGCCACGATGGGGAGGATCGCGAAGCGGGCGCTACGCATTACACCTTTCTGGGGGTGCAGTTTGGTCACACTCACCGTGCGGTATCCCTGAGTGAGAAGTTTTCCCGTTCTGTATGCGCCATGCCGACGCTCAATTCTTTAACCATCGCGGAAATGGAGGTTATAGCGTCACGCTTTTTATATGCGGCGGCCATTTTGGGCAGGCGCCTGTGTGCATACTAATTTCTCATCACGGCAGCGCGACGGCGATGATTGGCACTTAACCGGGGGAGTTGTGCTGGAGACATCCCCGGCGAACCTACCGCCGTCAGCGGTTGGTTTGGGCGAGAGATTACGACACACCATCGAGAACAATCGTAAGCGAATCATCAAGCCCACGGAAAAGGCATCGGCCGCCATCATCACGGATGCATCGCTCCATGGATGGGGAGCCGTTTTTATTCCAGACTCCGGCGACGTTAAAATTGTCGGAGGAAAGTGGGAGAGGAAGCCTTTTCTTATCATGCAGGCCGAGGTGCGTGCGGTACGCTTAGTCTTATCGGCCTTTTCCGCCATCTTGCCATCCACCATGGACGTTTGGGTGAACAACACTTCGCTGCAAGGAGCGGCGAATAAAGGCAACTCGAAATCGCACGCGTTGACTTGGGAGCTGAAACGGATATATGAGTTTTTGGACTCTCGCCGAACACAGGCATCCTTTGCTTACGTGCGGTCAGCGGAAAACCCCGCAGACGGCATATCACGCGGTCGTGTTTTTACACTTCAGCACTTGGCTAAAGGGGTGGAACTTGCGAAGGGGAGCGGCGGGGTCTTGTGGTTGGAGGACCCCAAAGTCTGCCAATTCGCAAGCAATGCGTATATATTTATCCTATCCGAACAAAGTGAACGGGCCACGATTGTGGCTAATGGATGATGTAAATACATATGTATATACAATTACTTGTTGTTAAATTTTGAGGATATGATGGATCCATTCTTATTTCATTCATTCCTTTCTTACTCCTATCTTGTTTGGTTCCCATTATTGATAAACTCAGGATTCGGCCTGCGGCACATAAAATCATTCCCATATCCAAAGAGAGATTCCCCGCACCGCCGCGCAGCATCGTACGGGGGCCACACCATCCACGCCCTCAGCCGCATGCTTTCGGAGAAACGCGGCCTCCTTCAATCCTCGTCTTCGCATCGTGCTTCAAGGCGGCGCTCTTCGTCTCGCGGCTGAAGGATACACCGATGGCTTCACACCACTTGGAAAGGGCTTCCTGTTCTCCCGTTGGCGCCACTTCTTGGCCGCACATTGGTCCCGCCGAACCACGCTCCTCCGCAGCCCGCTGGTTCGGATACCGCAAATCCAAACAGGAGCCCTTACCACGCGCGGCGCCACAGACTGCGGTCTTGCCATCTCGGGGCCTTCCGCCAAGACCCTCGCGGTGGTGCGGGGAACTTCCGGACAACATTCGTGGCCCGTGTGGAGGCGAGTCAATTCCACAAGATCCACAAATCTCACTCGACAGTGGAAACTCGCCCCTGCATATCCGCCAAGAGAGCCGCCTGTAAAAAGACGCATCTACATCTAGTAAAGCGGCGGCTTGGTCCCATAATGCGCCAAGATACTGGGAAATGTGAAATGGCGGAGCAACCATGACCTCTGCGCCCTCATGGGCGTTCTTTGCCTTTGGCCACGCGATGAACCGCCATCCCCGCACTGACGGCTTGTCCAACACCGCCGGCCCACCCCGCGACAGGCCCCCCCATGGCTCTACAAATAACACCCGCCCTTTCCACAAGCAGCGCATGCTGTGCGGAGTTCCGCAAATTCAGTTCTTTCCCATCGCTCGTCGAGGTGACGGATCGTAACACGGTGTCCTTCCACAAATCGTCACACACATTCGTGTGCCGTTGGATTCATCCGCCGTCGGATCCACTTCAGGGAGTAATAAAAGTGCACACGTCCACTCCTCGCCGGGGCAAGCAATCCCCCTCCTCCTTCCGCAACGCAACCCGACAAATATGGGTGCGCCAAACGATGCTCTGGCCCTCAGAAAAGATGGTCGTGTGCCATCCTTCCCCGGCGCCAATTGTGCCCACAGCACCGTCGCACGGTGCGCCAACTCGTTTCCACCAACGGTGTCAACCGCACGACGCGTTGGGGAGGTGTCCCACGGCATCACCACGAGCGCAGCGCTGAGAGGAACCCATGCCGCGCGGCCACACCCGGACATTGATGACGATGTCCCGCCTGTGCCGGTCCAGAAGTCATTGCTTCCGGGGCCGAAAGTCCTTTTTGTGTGTGTTTATAGGCCTCCTTTTGCAGCTTCACTCGGCACGCCGTGTTGCATTGTCCAATCCAATCACGTTTGCGGCATCGTGCTTCATTGGGCGGGGGTGCGGCATGCTATTTCTCTGCTCTCTGAAATGCCTGGGGGAATGGGCAGTCCCATTTCTGGGCATTTCGACAGCACCCTGAATATCCTCGGCCCGCGCTCCGGCATCGTTATTCGCTGTCCGGGGGATCCATTTGACTGAGTGTGCGCAGTCGCCCTGACAACCGGCGAGATTCCGTAAGCATCTCTTCCCCGCGAATGGCGCACGCCCAGGACGCACCGTTCTCACAACTGTCTGCATGCCGGGGCCTGGCGCAGCCGACGTCGCAAAGGTGGCCCAAGACGCATCCAGGAGCTGTGGCCAGGCGTTGCATCCATTATGCATTCCAATACGCCGTCAAATGGTGCGACTGCGATCCTCCGTACAAATCCCCGCCTCTCACGGATTCCACTCTTGGTCCCCCGTGTGCCGAGTAACAGCTCTAATTCCTCCAGCACGTCGTGAATTTGTGGGATCTTCCGATTGTCTCTGCCGTATGAAAAGCATTCCAACTTCCCGTGGCAGAAGCGGTGGAGACTTGTGACGCGCCTGGCTGAGTGCTGATGGTCGCCAAGTTGTCGTCCCATTGATTGATGTGGGCAGCTCTTGCATCAGCGCCAATCCAATGCGCTCCGCACGGAACTGCACGTGGGCATCTGAGCTGCACGCCAATATTTTTTATCCTCCAACCGAGCCCGGGCACACTCATATGGGCATTGCAGTGCCAACCGCCTTCCTTCAGGTGCCGCCCAATTGCTCCAAACAGCGGTGTGCTTCTTCCTCTTCAGAGAGGCTCGAATGGACTCAGGGTTCCTCGGCACGGTGATAGCTGCTACAGAGTGTCGCAACGAGGTGCAATTCATCCCTTTGTCCTGGCCCCGCCTTGCAACGAGTTCGCCGCCCGCTAATGGTGAGAACGCCGCCCAAGTGGTGGCTCAATGGCGGGTAATTCGCTGGGCAAAGACAAAGTGTCGTTGGACACACAACCTCAGAGTGTGGTTGTGGGCGTGTGTGTCTCGTGAATGCCGTCCGAGTCATGAATTCACCCACAAATTCCTCCCTCAATAAATATTCTTTGCGCTAGGCCTCAAAAGAATAGATAGGGGAGAATAATCGCCTGGACCGCTGGACGAATCCTAAAATTATCTAAAGAAAACAAGCAAGACGGGGAAAAGGGGTAAATGGAGAGGCAGCGGATTCGCCACATCCTCAATGTTTGCTCCAAGTAAATACATGTGTATTCGGAAAGCCACTCTCCTGACACGGCGCAGTCTATTCAGATTGGTGATGTTTCTTCCTTGAGAAGTGGAAAGTTTTGTGCTCATCCAACCACAAGACCCCGCCGCGAGGTGGGGATCAAAAGAGGATGAGTGGGAAAGCAAAAAAGAAAGGCATTCGTCTTGTCGTTATCGGTTCCTCGACTCCTTCCATCGCGGTGTTGCAGAGCTTTCAAAAGATGGGCAATTATCGTAAATAAATATATTCGCTTCATCAGGAGGATATATTAGTTTGGGCAACCAACCTTCCTCGCGTTCATTCTCTCCACAAGCTCCTAGAAGAAGACATCATTATTGGGTGTTCCTCCAGACACACACCCGTTCACACCATTCCTCTCACAACCATAAAAAAAAAAAAAAAGGGAAAATGACAAACAAATTCAAAAGGAAAAAAAAAAAAAACAAACTACGCTCCAACGATACAAATGGCTTCTTTTCTATAAATGCTGCTCCACACACGCGCTGCTTCTTTTGCGTTCTTGACGCAAGATCCGGTTCAATTTGGAAAAACACTAATTTGACCTAAAGTAAATACCAGAGAAAAAATAGAGGCCGCTCAGGACCGCATATATATATATATACATATTACTATCAAAGCATCTCTTTTCAATTGGGGATAAATGTACCCCTAAGGAATTAAAAATAATTAAACAAGAGAAATTAACAGTACTGACTAACAACTGGCACATTCCCAGTTGAGCGATTACAACACGCGTTTTTTTACAAAATCATTAACACATTGAAATAAAAATAAGAAGCAGCATAACCAATGGAATCGGGGGAAAAGCTGACAGCAAACTGCTCGCGTCTCCACCTCCGTTAATTGTATCGAAAAAAATGCATACATCATCGTACTTTGGACACAAAATCCTCCCTTTCATGAACAGCCCAGTTGGTGTAATACTGCTGCCCTCCGGGCATTTGTGCCACGCATCATCTCCAAGGTACCGCACGCTCACCTCGCCCTTGTCACACGACACCTCAGCGCACACATCACCAACAAAACCCTCGGAATCAGCAAGTCCATCCCCCTTTAGACATTTTGATCTCGGACCAACGCGGCTCCCACGCATGAGGGCCTTATCCCCGTTACTGCACCTAGTTTTGATATTCGGTCGAATGTAAGGGCAGAAGTCCATTAAAAGATCGGGCACACCGCCAAGTTTGGGATTCGGAAAGTACTGATATTGTGGGGGAAGGGGAGCGTCGTAGAGTTTCATTGCACAGTGCCCCAGCGCCAGGCGATCCGATGTGCACAAAAGAGGGCTGCTTCTAGCGGTGCAAAACATCTCTGGATACTTGGTGACGCCATTTATCACGCATTTCTCCGTCAGCAGCGCGCAGCCGGAGTTGTTGCCCCATGACATCGGTTCCTCCATTCCCCAATTGGCCTTGTAAAAACCGGTGTCCTCAAAAGCAGCCATTGTCAACGCAGTGTAGTACCCGATTCCAGGAATACCAGCCATCAGCTCGTCCTTTGCGTTGCGTCTCTTCCAATGCGACAATGCAGTTTCGTTCCCACCCTCGTCCTCCAGCTCCATGCCGGTAGCACTCACGCAGTTGAAGTGCTCGCGAGTCTTCTCCACCGTCTTGGGCGACGACACCTGGACCACTGCTGCCTTGCCACGTACACCCTCAAACTCTTTTAACATATTGCGTTTTTCCATTATCTCCAGAGTAAACCCAAGAGCATGTGCAATCTCATGCGCTAAAGCACGAACACCGTACTCCGAATCAGTGACAGAGCTCGGGCCATAATCCATCACACCAACAACAGGACGCCCATCGGGTAATTCAGTGCAAAAATGAGCCCACGCAAGAGTGGAATCCTGTGTCGGGCCAGCGGAGACATACAAGTACATGTCCGCACCGAAAACACCCACTGTGTGGTGAGAGCTGGGTATTGTAAACTGAGCGCATACACCTGACGAGTACTTTGGTACAATAACCCTGCCCGTGAGAGGTTCAACAAGGAGACGATCTGCGTGCATTTTAAGTGCTCGGGGAACAAGGGATTTTAATATGATGGACTTTTTCTCTTCCGTTAAAATATCCTCTCCCTTACACTCAAGAGTTCCCCCAGTAAAGTCCGGACGAATCTGCCCCTCGGCGGTGCAGTATCTTGAGGGATCGTTCAGATCCTCTGTGAAGAACTGAAAGCGGATGGGCGCCCATTCGGGAGCCGAGGCAGTCAGCGCCCGTATCATGCCACCTCCCCGAGTTGGCAGCTCTAGCACCACTGCTGTTGTCCGTGGTCCAACCTTTTTTTCAATTTTTTCGGAGATGCAGCGATGCGCAGCGACGGCAACAGAACCAGAGACGCAGCAGAGCAGCAGCACCAGGAATAGCAGAGTCTGACGCATCCTTGTGTGTGTTTTTTCTTTTGGGCCTTTCACAGCGCACAATTTAGCTGCTTGTATGCTTGTCGAATGGATTACCTTGACAGAATAAATGAATGGATTGCATAACTGGTGTAGGCTCAATAAAATATTGTACCAGTGAGTTATGGTAACTGCTGAAATACACATTGAATACAATACTAAGAAATTATCTCGGCTTCTTCCACAATAAACAGGGTTACCTTCGTGAACGCTCGTTCATTTGTTTCACTGCTGTTGATCGGGAAGTTAACTCCAATCCATTGATGGCATTCCGCCTCTTCCTCCTTTTTTCCCGCTCTTGACATTTTCTTCTTTTTCTACTTTTACCAACATCTCTAGCTATACAATGCCATCTGAGTGCCGAAGAGGTGGTCGAGCAGCGACAAAAGTTTCCTGCTATGAGGCAACTGCCATTGAGAGAACTTTCCGAGGCGGAGGTCCTGTTCAATGCCCAGCCGTTGACGCACAGCCAAGGTGCCTGGACATTCTAGAAGCAGATGGTGCAAGGTTTCCTGCGGGACAATTGGCGTGCTTGTGGAAGCTGGCTGATCCTGCGGCGGCAGTGATCGCCTCCTGGCACTGCTGTTTCGATGTCGTGTGGCGTCAGGGTTGTGTGCGCAGCGAATTCTGTGCGGTGCGGTGCTTCTCCGTGTGGGGAAAACCATATCACAGAAATCACATTTGAGCTCGGGAAGCGGTGGAGGATGTTCCGGATGAAATGACCGACAGTGACTGACGAGACCCGAGAATCCCGTCAAAATAGAATCACAGTGCGGACATTTCTCCTTCCGACGGCGTGTGACGGTCCGTCTCCTTACTGGAGAGACGTCTTCATCCCTTGCTGACGGGGGGACAGTGTCCGTCCCCGGTGCGGTTGGATCGTTGTTAGAGCGCATATATGCAGACTGTTCCGGTGAGATGTTGCAGAATCGGCATTGGTTCGTGCAATCTCTCACGGCCCAGTATAGTCGGCCCCAGAGCTCAGATTCCCCGCACCTTGCCCTTGCGAGGTAAACCAGCTCCTGACGGTGGAGAACTTCCTGAGTGATTAGGTCCTTACCGCTGAGATCTGATGGCCTTGTGCCGCAAAGCAAGTAGCGGTGAGTGTCTTGACGAATGGTACTACGCCACTTGTTGGTGAGCTGGGTAGTAAAACATGTCGGCAGATCCGTATGCCATAAAGGTGCGATTCCTTGCTCCGTGTATTGTCCACTTTCCATAGTCTGCGTCGCATGCTGATCTGCAGGCTCGTTAAATCTTGCTCCACAATGTCCGTAACAAAACTGCAGGTGCACGGACCAGCCAGCACACGCCAGTGTTAAGAGACGCTGCCAGATCCGGTTCTCCGTCCATTCGGTCTGACCGAACGGCCCCTCAGCAAAGGGCTGCAGGAAGAGACTGACTGTCTGTCACCACAAGCAGGGTTTTGTGCCTGTAGCGGATACGAGGGATAATCAGCCTTTGCAGGGCCAGGAGCAGCGCACAGCACACACACACTCTCTCCAAGCAACTCATATCATGTGGCATCACCGCACGGCAGCCTCATCGTGATGGGCAGCCCTGAAGCGTGGGTGCGAAGTGCCATCCGGAAGAACCTCCTTTCACCGTCGTTCTCACGAGGTGCTCGACAACAGGCGCGCCGGCGGTGCGGTGATCATGACCGTTTCTTCCGCTTTGCACCTCCTGCAACCCCATTGCATTAAATTCGCCGTGTTCGCCGTTGCTCTCTCCACCGCCCCATCACCACGCCGGCCTTTCCAACACGGCGGATCGGAGCGTCGCCAAAAGCTGCCCCAAAAGCCAACACACCAGACCCATGGTGCGTTCTGTGACTCCCCCGCAGTGCCGAAAGTTCCTCCAGCAGCGCAAAGGCCGTCCGCCGTGTGCGCGCCTCTTGCGTGCGGTGGGAAGTCCCTCCGCAGCACCTCCCAGGGGTTGCTGGCAACAACGTATACGCACTTGCGCCACAATCTGTCCCTTCGTGGCTAAGGGACCCGGCTCCAACCACTTTTTGTTGTTTTTTCTCGTGTTTCCTCAAATAAATTCGACGACCCGCACGCCGGCCACCATCGTCGAGCATGTCCGCCCTGCTGAGTGGAGACGTGAGGGGGAGCCCCGGCCCCCGGGGAGGCAGCTGCAGCGGAGGGCGTGAAACACGATCATGCCACGCCTCCGCCCCGGAATAGCGCCGCGGCTCAATCATCCATTGCTGCCGATAATCAGCACAATAACAAAACCATAAATCAATCAGCCAAATAATCGATCAATAATGAGAAGTGAGGAGGCGCCTGCCACCAGCATCAAAGTTACGTCGCATCTTCGAGGAGCTTCGTGCCTTCTCGCCGCGCAGAGGCACTGTTGGGGGGCAGAGCCTTTCCACCCCGAGAAGAAACTGCGCCAACCCTTTCGTGAGGCACAGCTTCCCCAATTTTCAAGTGTCCGCCTCATGTTTTGCCCAATTGCCGGCAGCGCCGGGGCAGCGGAGTGGATGCGGACTTGCTTCCTCGCACAATTCGCGTTCTCCGGTTTTCACGATGTCTGGTTGATGCCCGTGTCATGCCGTGCGGTGGCGGGTCAGTCCGTCATTGCTTTAGTGCTAAAAGCCACATGTTGGGCAGCGAAACTCCACCAGTGGTGATCCCATCGGAGTCTCGTCGGCGGGCGAATTGCGTTTGGCACCCGTCCCCGCCAGCCGCCAACAATTCCCCCGCCCCCAAAGCAGTAAACCGCTCCATCCGTGCATGGATGCGTCTGTCGCCAACATGGCAGGAGCTGGCGAGACCGCCCCAAGGCGAACGAGCTCCTTCTCCGGCAATTTGCGGGTCCGCTCCTGCCGCACTTTCGGCGCGTATGGAGGCACGTCTGCGGGATCGTGAGAACACGACAGTCGGGGGATGCTATATGTTGAAAAAACAAGAGCTAATGTCAAAAGAGAGGTTCCCCCGCACCGCCGCGCAGCATCATACGGGGGCCACACCATCCACGCCCTCAGCCGCATGCTTTCGGAGAAACGCGGCCTCCCTCAATCCTCGTCTTCGCATCGTGCTTCAAGGCGGCGCTCTTCGTCTCGCGGCTGAAGGATACACCGATGGCTTCACACCACTTGGAAAGGGCTTCCTGTTCTCCCGTTGGCGCCACTTCTTGGCCGCACATTGGTCCCGCCGAACCACGCTCCTCCGCAGCCCGCTGGTTCGGATACCGCAAATCCAAACAGGAGCCCTTACCACGCGCGGCGCCAGAGACTGCGGTCTTACCATCTCGTGGGTTTTCCGCCAAGACCCTCGCGGTGGTGCGGGGAACTTCCGGACAACATTCGTGGCCCGTGTGGAGGCGAGTCAATTCCACAAGATCCACAAATCTCACTCGACAGTGGAAACTCGCCCCTGCATATCCGCCAAGAGAGCCGCTTGTAAAAAGGCGCATCCACATCCAGTAAAGCGGCGGCTTGGTCCCATAATGCGCTAAGATACTGGGAAATGTGAAATGGCGGAGCAACCATGACCTCTGCGCCCTCATGGGCGTTCATTGCCTTTGGCCACGCGATGAACCGCCATCCCCGCACTGACGGCTTGTCCAACACCGCCGGCCCACCCCGCGACAGGCCCCCCCATGGCTCTACAAATAATACCCGCCCTTTCCACAAGCAGCGCATGCTGTGCGGAGTTCCGCAAATTCATTTCGTTCCTTCGCTCGTCTAAATGACGGACCGCCGAGCAGCGGCCCCTTCGATCCCAATGCTCGAAAATTATCTGCCCGAGCGAGGTGGCCGATAGGCGTCCGAAAGGCAACACTCAATGCGCAAGCAATCCTTACTTCATCCAACCCCCCAAATCCGGTGGCCCATTCCGAAGCGAATGGTTACATCGAGTTCCTTATATAAGGCAGTCCCCGCCGTAGACCCTCGCACCGTTCCCTTTTTGTGCAGAACCCTCTAAAGTCTTCGGGGCGGTGCTCTGCTGCTGGCCCTTGGGGCGGACCGTACAACTCAATGATGAAAGTTCAGTCGAGCTGCTGACCATATCCTGAAATTGTCTAAATAAAACAATATACCACAGGGAAAGGAGGGGTGATGGAGAGGCAGTGGGTTCGCCACATCCTCGTTCTTTGCTCCAATTATATTTATATTTGCTGATATATATTACTATAAAAAAAATACCGTGAAATGGTGAGCCCTATCCGGACTGGAGATAATTTTTACTGGCGAAGTGGTACACTTTGGGGAATTCCAGCCAGCGAACCCCACCGCGAGGTGGGAAACAAAAAAGGGGGTGAGTGGTACGGCAGAAACAAAAATAAAAATTCTTACCGTGCCGCTATCGGTTCCTTCACTCGATCCATCGAGGCCTTAAAACTCGTAAAAAGAAATATATTACAGAAATAAATACTCATCTTATCAGGACATATAGTAATTCGGACATCCAGTTTTCCTCGCGAACAATTGTTTCAGAAACTCCCCTTTTGTGCTGTGGCGAACGTCATCGTGGATGTCACCGTTCTCACTTTTGGCCGTCCCATCAATTACTGCCAACACTCGGTGATCCTCAGCATGTCACCTTTCAAACTCCAAGGTATGGATTCCCCTCCCTCCCCCAGTTCACAAAATAAACTTCGTCCTGCCGCTCCCAAGCTCAAGACTAATACTTGGCAATGGGTGCTGTGTACAATCTTTCCAGATCGGAAGAAATGAACACTGCCCATATGTGTATTTGCAAAATCCAATCACTTCTAAAGTCATTACTGAACACTATAAAATTCTTCCACTCACTTCTTAGTGGTTTCCAGCTGCTGCTTCAGTCGCTTATTCTTGGCAAGCAGTGCAGCCTCCCGCCCGCGATGCGCACGTTGAAAATTATTCATTTTATACTTGGCATTTTTCAGCTGCTGCTTCAGTCGCTTATTCTCAGCAAGCAGTGCAGCTTCCCGCCCGCGATGCGCACGTTGAAAATTATTCATTTTATACTTGGCATTTTTCAGCTGCTGCTTCAGTCGCTTGTTCTCAACAAGCAGTGCAGCTGCCTGCTCGCGATGTGCACGTTGAAACCCTTCCACTTCCTTCTTGGTGTTTTCCAGCTCCCGCGCCAGTTGTTCCTTCTCTTCTTGGAGCACTTTCTTTTCCCCGTCAAGATCCTCCGTTACCATACTGAGAGATCGTGGTGCCTCGCAGCCGTCCACTGGGAAGCCAGTAGTTTCCCACTCACAACTGTTCCGCGGCGTGTACGACGCCTCTGTTGGAGTGTCCAGGTTGCACCACTTCTCGGAATCACTTGACATGGCTGTGTTCAACCGAGGACGAAGGCAGCAGAAGGAAGAATATCCCTACCCTTTTAAAGCGCCCTGGCACCCCAGATGTTATATTTGTATGCACGTATTTATACATTGCGCAAGAAAGAAGCGAATAAAAAAGAAAAAACAACAACCCAGTAAATAAATAATTATATACACCGGTTCCTTTTTAGGGCAAGCCCTCTTGGTTTTCACAGGGAATTTTCTGAATGTCTTCGCGCAGAATTTATTTATTTTTTTAAGCCACGACCAGCACAATTGCATACCACCGCACACACACATATAATATATATATATGTGCTTTTTGAACAAACGTGGAAAATGGATCAGCTTTCTAGGTAAGCCCGGAATTCTCTTGTCATGACAGGGCGGTCCCCGAGGACGAGCCAGAGTTCATGTGCGGTGAGAGTTTCCTGTCGCATCAAAAGTCCAGCCACCACGCGGGTTTTGTCAAGGTATTGGTTTAATATCGTCCGTGCCCCTTTCAAAGCCACTTCCAAGAGACGATGAACGGCTTGATCCACGACATCTTCCTTCAGCGGACCAAAGGGTTTTTGAATACTATCTTCCTGATCCAATTGATATCCAAAGTGCCCAATGGTTTCCGGGTCCATACCATAAGTACAGACAAAATGTCGAGCCTTATTCGTCGCGGACTGTACATCCTCCGCGGCGCAGGTGGAGATGTCTTGAAAAAAGTATTCCTCAGCCACATATCCACCCAATTGGGCCACTAAATTCTGCATCAGTTGTTCCTGAGTAAAAATAAATGTTGTTTGCGGTAATTTTTGCGTGACACCCGTGCGGTGACGTCCACGAGGGAGAATCGTCGTCTTGACCACAGGGTCTGTCTTATCCTGAAACCAGTGAAGGATAACAACCCCGGCCTCGTGGAACGCAATACGTTCCCGCTCAGTCTCACTCAACTTCACCGCACTTCGTTCCAATCCAACCAGAACACGTTCAACCGCCTGATGAAAATGTTGTTGCGTGACATGGTCCTTCTTTTCACGAGCGGCCTGAATAGCGGCCTCATTGCAGATATTAAATATATCCGCACCGCTACACCCTGGAGTAAGTGCGGCCACGATCCTTGCATACTCGTGGATGTTACTCGACGCCTCCAATTTTAATGGGCTCAGGTGGACCTTGGCAATCGCCTCCCGATCCTTATAAGAGGGCTTTTCAAGCGTTATTTTCCGATCAAACCGCCCAGATCGGGTGAGGGCGTTGTCGAGGATATCCACACGATTCGTGGCCGCAAGAACCATTATCCCAGTGGCGTCCTTAAACCCGTCCAGCTCCGAGAGAAAGGCATTCAACGTGCCCCTCGAGCTCCCTCCTCCTGTCTCTGTTTTGCGTTTCCGCCCAAAGGCATCAATTTCGTCCACAAACACCACACAGGGCTTATGCTCATGCGCCTGGCGGAAGAGCTCACGCACTCGCTGTGCCCCAACACCAACGTACACTTCCTCAAACTCGCTTCCGGAACAGCTAAGGAACGGCACCATCGCCTCTCCCGCAACTGCCTTCGCCAGCAGTGTTTTCCCCACACCGGGAGGCCCATCCAAGAGAACCCCCTTGGGGAGCTTTGCCCCTAATGCCTGGTAACGGGCAGGATTCTTCAAGAAGTCAATCACCTCCACAACCTCGTGTTTTGCCTCCGTTAAACCGGCAACATCCGCTAATCGAGTGGAGACGGAGATTTCGCGTTTAAAATTAAATCGACTCTTTTCTGCAACAACAGATGCCATTTTTGCCGAACGACTGAAGGTGGAGTTGGTCGCCGCTAGAAAAGGCAACAGACACAAAAGCAACATTGGAACCCATGGGTAATATGAATGGAATAAAATAAGAATATCCATGTTCTTGTCACAAGTGGCCTCAAATGCCCTGTAGTCCACAAAGTTTCGAATACCCAGATATTTTCCCTTCTCGTCAAGAAATGCCGCCGTATGCTTCGACAAATCTACAGCGATCGCCGCATAGTTATTGATGTCTCCAACCATATAAGACCTCAAAACGTACATTCGAGCCATGAGAACGCCCGCCAAGAGAAAAAAAACAATTCCTATCCGGCGTATTCGCTTCCATTTCAGAGCCTTAGCCGCCAAATTCATTGTTAAAATACGCTCCTCAGGTGACATTGTATAGGCGCGTTTTACGGATTCCGCGGGAACACGCGTAAATGGCATCCTCCCCAAAATGTATTTTGAATAAAAGGCCTCAAAGCCCTTTGGATGACGCTTCCCTGAAAGAAGACCCTCCGTGGAAGACGTGGAGTTATTGAAGGGTCTCGCCTCCTCTCCGCCCTCCTTTTCTTTTCCTACATCATTGCTCTTGCTACCATCAATATTATTGTTATTATCATTCTTCCCACCACCCGTGGCGCAAAAACAAACTCGCGTGTTCAGCGCATGGGCAACAAACGGCGACGCACCAGTGACTCGAAGAATACGAAACATTTCAGGCTCCTGCTGCGTTTTTCACTCTCCTTCCTCTCTCTCCTTCTCTCTCTCTCTCGCTCGCTCGCGTTATTTCTGCTTCCTTCTTCTGTGGCTGCTTTTCCCCTCGTGACGGAGCGGTGTATGCTTGCGTACATTTTAAATGTCAACAGCAAATCCCCCACACACAAACAAAGACACGCGGAAAAAAAAAAAAAGAGAAGAAAAAAAAAATCCGAAGCACCGCAAAAGACAAAACAAGCCAAAAACAGAAAAACTAGTCCATAAAGAACAAGACACCCTGCCGCCATTTTAAAAGTCATTCATTAATTGAAGAAACAGTCAAAAAAAAACAAAAAAAAAAACTAAAACATCCCTCCCAAAAATACGCACACAAACAATTTCAGTAGTGGAAAGACCAACAACCGCCAGAAGAAAAAGGAATCCGAGCAACGCAGCAATTTAGAAGCAGGCTCGTACCACAAACGAGTTGAATCGGCTCATTTGAGCATGGAGCTCCCTCGATGGGGCGTAGAAACGAGAGAGATGGGCCTTTGCTCGTTCCGCAAAGACACCTCTCTCCTCCTCGGAGAGCGCAAAGTAGGCAAGACGAATGTAGTCGTCCGCAAACTCCAAATGGTTTTCTCCGTAGATTTGGCGGTCCAGCTCCACCTTGGCCAATAGGTGCTCCACGCATTTTTCGTTGTCCTTCAGGCGATTAAATGCCCTCGCCAAAGCCATATGTGTTTTCGGAATCATAGATTGCGGGGGTCGGGGTGGTGGGCACAGGTGTTCCATGGCAATGGTATAGCTTTGCGACAAGACTGTGACAGCCACGTCATATTGACCCTCACGTATCAATCGGCACCCTTTCTGATACAAATCACTGGCTTGAATGTAATAACCCTTCTTTTCAACTGTGACGCGTTCCTCTTTGGTATCCACACAGGCCCGGCAGTTACATATAAATCCACATCGTTCAGCAAGGGCGCGACGTCGGAACTGCGCACTAACAGCCTTGTACGTTGTGATATTGTGATAGGAAATGGTAATTTCCTCACCCGCAGGAATAGGGCGTATGGCACGAATGGCGAGGTAAAGAGAGCAACCAAGTGGATTCCCCACAAATGAGGCAAAACAGTTTGGGTCACAAGAGTGACGGTATTGCGAAGCAGACACATACAGCGCCTTCCCGACGGGTATGGGCCGCGACTCATCAATGAACGCCTCTCGAGTTTCAGAATTGATTGTTACCTGTGACCCTGTCCAAAACTTTACCTCAAAGCTGCACAACATCACTTGACGCTGAGCAAGGCGCAAACGATCCACATCCTCTAAACTCACGGCATCCAACACGAGTGCACAGAGGCTCACAGCGGTTTCATAGCCCCCAATGACGGCTGCAGGGTGCAACTCACCCGTAAAGTCCCCACGAAGCGAGTGACACCTGGAAACTGCACAATCAGAACACATCATGCGACTTGCAATCAGGGCATCGATAGGACACAACTGAAAAAAGGGGTTTGCGGTCTCGTGTTGGCCATAGCGTTCCCAACTCAGTTGGGCGCACACCTCACCACAAAAGAGCCCTCGAGACAATTTTCCCCTTTCACGATAGGCGCTTCCGGGATACAAGGCTTGTGTCACGCGTAGGCAGTAGCAGCAGCGTATGCCCCAATGATCATCATATAACGCGTGGACAACGGGTGCTTCCGTGACAATCTCTCCGGGTTCCAAATGCCTTTTTGCCTCTACCCCTTTCATTTTACCGTTGTAATTGATGTCATTCAAATGAGAGGAAGAAATTCCTCCTCCAATTAAATTCACTGCCTCATCCTCACTCCTGCCAACATCCGCATGTAGGATGTTGGAGATTAAAGTTGCTGCATTTGCAGAATCCACATTTAAAATGGCTGCCGCATGGATATCCTTTTTGCCCTCTTCTTCAAACCCCAGCTTTTGCAAGCATACACCACGACGCTCCAATGCCTCCCAGTTGGTTGGCATAAATGTGAAAGCAGCATGGGTGTCTGCCAACGCCTCCATAAAGCGTGCTTGTGCCAAAAAAACTTTGCCGCGGTGATAGAGGAGTGATGCTAAGGTGTCATCTTGACTGGCATACATCACTCCCCGAGTGTACATTAGCACACTTTCGGCCATTTTTCCAAGATCATAGGCCTTGTGTCCTTCTTCCTTCCACTTCTCGGCCCCATCATTGTTCAAATCAGAGGCCCCTTGAACCTCATGCTTTAGATTTTCCAGCAGACTAGCAAGACGAGGGGCATCCTCCCTCTGCAAATGGGCCAAAAGCTCCTTCACAGGACGAGTGCCGCTGTCGGGGGGCAATATCTTCGCGAGCGCCAGCAGCGAGCCTCTTAGCGTCCCCAGGTTGGCGGCCGCCTCTCGTCTCGCCTGGGCCTGAGACGCCACGTCGGGCGGCACACCACCGTTCATGTCGCCGTCGATCCCTCCCTTCTCTCCATGTGAGCCCAGAAGGAAAAAAGCAAAAAGAAAGAAAAAAAGCCAATCCTACCAAAGCAAATTTGGGAAAGACAAATATACATATACATATATTTATTTATTTATTTATATTTTATATATTTAAATAAAAATAAAGAGAACGGGAAGTTTACGGGCAAAACCAAAGCCGTGCACAACACAGCGAATCAACGCATTGATAACAGCAGACCAAATGCTGTGTTCAGTTGTTGTTGTTGTTGTTGTTGTCATATATATATATATATATATGGCTCGCCTTTTAAAAAGTAACGTAACGACTTGGAGACATCCGCATCCTCTCCTTTATTTTTATTTTTATTTTTATTTGTTTTTGTTTTGTTTCGCAACATATATATTTATTTAAAATTAAATAACACAAACTAACTTTGTTTTTTTCTTTTTTTTCTTTGAGGGCATTCTTTGAGTGCCTCTTAATTCCGTTTCACTAACTCCCCTTTCCCCTCCCCTCTCCCAGCTTTTTTTCACCACAAACCCCTTCCCCACCGTCCACTCCCCCTTTTTATCCCCCTCCCTGTAATGACACAAACTGGGAGAAAAGACAGAAAAAAAAAAAAAAAAATCCGCAAAAATAAGGCATGCATCCTATGCAAAGGAAAGTGCATATTTGTACAGGAATCGTGCGTGTGCATGCAAATCCTATATGTATATGTGCATATCTCACAAAAACAAGGATGCAACAGACCTCTATTCCTATCCCCAATAGAAGCCATTCACAACATTTCCCAGTACCCCCCCCCCCCCCCCAGAAAGGCGTGAATGCCCATTACATGCGAACCATTCTCCCTCTCTTCCACTCTCCATCCTTCAGACTCCGCAGCTGCACCAATACTAACCGGAAAGACGTTAGTGCACATTGGTTTAGTTGCAGATTCGGCACCATCTCCACATGTACTCCGTATTAATCATGTGTCCCAAAGTAGCGATCGCCAAAATCACCCAGTCCGGGGACGATGTATTTGGAATCGTCTAGAGCCCCATCGATCGCCGCGGTCACTACGTGGACCTTTGGAAATCTACTCATATACCGCCGGATTCCCTCTGGGCACGTAATAAGGTTAAGAAAAATAATGTTTTCCTCCGGCACCTTGTATTCCCGTATAAGGATATCTGTGGCGTGGATGGCGCTGCCGCCCGACGCAATCATAGGATCAAGAAGCAGCACGCGACGTCCAGCCACATCCCTTGGAACTTTGCTGTAGTTATACCGCTCATCCGGACACTTCTCAACTGTTTTCTCGTCCCGCTGGACCAGAATCTTTCCGATGCGAATACCGCGGCAAGTTTCCCGGAGAACGCGTTCCATAGACTCGCCGGCGCGAAGGATGCTGATGCCAATAATGCCTTGTGGATCAGGCATGCAGCCCTTGTAGATGGCGCCGGTTGGTGTCGTCACATCCTTTGGCAGAACAGGAACCAAATCAAGCCCCGCCTCCACCACAAGACGAATGATCCGCTCGCAGTAAAACACAAAATCTGTGCGGGTTGTCTTCTTGTCGCGAATGATGGTAAATAGAAAAATCAGCTGATTTGTTTGCGGGACCAGGTGCAGTTTCGGAAATTCCTTCAGAAGGGACTGCTCCAAAGAACTGCCGTCACCGCAATTCTTCATCGTCAATGTTCTTTTTCCCCCTTTATCTTCTTTTCGGTTTTTGCGTAATTATGTTTATTTATATTTGTGTATTAAATTCACCTTAAGAGACTTCTTCTAGTGACTGGTGCTGCCGTGTTCCGCCCCTCAGCGGCAGGCAAAACACACAAGGGGGGTTAAATCAAATATCGGTGGAGAAGAAATCTTCGGCGCCTTGTGGGGTGTTGCATAAAAGGCATGCTTAAGAAACACTGCAGAAAGCGTGCCACGCACCCTTCCCCCATCCATCTCCCCCTCCCCACACATTCTCGCCGTTTTTTCACGGCAGTTATATTGCTATACATAACCAAACACACACACACACACACACACACACACACACAAACAAACAAACAACGCCATCACCAGCAGCAGCGGCAAAACAAGAAAAAGTGTAGGTGGGGATGGAAAGAAACATGACCGACATATTGATGGGCGTAGCGAGAAAGAGAGAGAGAGAGAGAGGAATGTTTTGTATCTCCTTCTCGCGCCTCTCTACCTGCCAATTTTCAAAAGATTGCGGAAGTCCTCAAGGCTGATATTCCCGTCCTTATCAAAGTCGGCAGTTTGGATCAACAGCTCTAACTCCTCCTGCGAGAGCTCACCCAACCCAATGCGCTTCATGATATCCGCCAACACCTCCACGTCCACAACACCGCGACCTTGCGGGTCGTAAATTTTAAACGCCTCCTTCACAGGATCAAAAGTCAAAGTCTCCGCCGTCACTGTTGATGTGTACATCGCATGGTAGTTATCAATGATGCCCCATAGCGTCTCCACCGTAAAGTTGCCATCCGCAGACTCCAGGAGGAATTTCAGCTCTTTGTTTGTCATGTTAGGGTAAAAGGCAGTGAGGCGCGCCTTCAGGTCGCGTGGTTTTAAATCCTTTTTGTTCTGTACATCAAAAAACGCAAATGCCGCCTCCACATCTGCACGCGTGAGTCGAAATTCGTACTGTCTATTCTGCTCCACATGCGTTGAGGGACGGCCCCGCGGGTTCCGCCCCGAGTTCCCATGGGACGATGACTTCTGCAACTTCCTGGCGGAATCCATTTGCTCTTTGTCACGGCCAAAACACTGCAGGGGAGAAGCAGGCAGCAAAGACAGAGGAAGAAATGAGCCGAGAGCAGAGGGACGAGCAAAAAAAAAAAAAAAAAAAAAGGGTCCCATCTCCCCAAGCAACAAAAAAAAACATCGCAGGCCAACTCCAAGAAATTCCTCCCGACAAAAATAAATAAATAAATAATGATCAATGGTCCACAAACACATACACACCCGCGGAAGGGTGCCACGTGTTTAGTGGCACATGAAAGTGAAGAAGCACGGGGCAATGAGAATCTTGAGCGTATCTGAGTAAGACCTCAAGATAAAAAGTGGAAACAGATGGATCGAGCAGACATGCAATTGACTAGCTCCAGGTGTTAGAAATAAATAAGCCGTAAAGGGGAAGCAACAAAAGTAAAAAAAAAAAAGATGTCAAATGGTGCCAAAATTTGCCTCTGTAGGTGCTTCGCATGAAGAAGAAGGAGGGGGATCGATGTGACGCTGCCTGTATGGCCCGCAGAGCGTTGTGCGCATCATGTATGCGACCAGGAGCGCCATAAACTGAGCACGTGTTTTATGCTTATTGACCCATACCACGTCGTTCGTGCCGGGGCCCCAGTCACCGCCATAGCGGCGCTGAATGGCACGGCGCGTTATCCTCCGTCTTGTGCATCCGCGACGCACTCGCAGGATGGTAAGCATCGCATCCCGCTCCTCTCGGTGCCGCCTGAATATGAGTCCCCAGCAGCTCCCAGGGCCGTAACAGCGTCGACACCTCACTTCACCCTCCCACTTGAGGCCTGAAGCGGGGTCTGAATTGTCAGCACGCTCGAGATTGTCCTTTCCTCCATAGATGCACGTGTGCTTGGAACGCCAGAATTCCCCATCCTCAATGATGTACGAAGTAATGATATGACGTGCAGGTTCGCCAAGCCACAAGACAAATGTGAGACCACTATTACCCACAGGGGCACATGGAAGGAGCGAGACAAAGAACGGAGGGCTTCTCCAATCAATTGGGACTCGCCGAGGGCCAGAAGAATCCCCAGCCTTTGCCTTTGATTCATCTGATCTCAACTTACATTCTCTCGCTGGCGAGAAGGTGAGTTTTTCCCAGAGTGCCCTTGCTTGTGCGGCAATCGCCCGCATTGCGGTGCGTTGCAGAACCCGATAGTTCTTCATCTCTCTTCCTCTGTGAGTAGTGCTCAAGAACACACTGAAAAAAACGTCAAGAAAGTTCAGTGGCCGAGGACATGCCATCCCAGCAAAGGTGCCGGTACGCCCCCCCCGATCCGCCGTTTCGATTGTTTGCTCGCGGGAACAATAAATGAGGTGGCGTGTGATAACCACAGGACCCACCTCAAAACGACACACAGGCAATCTGAAAAAGAGCTTTTCCTCACCTTTTCCCGTATCGCCACGCAACCTGATGGTTCGGCCCTCCCCCATTTTTGGCGGTTGCCTGCGTACAACCCACGCCAGAACGTGGCGCATGCCGTAGGCGCCACTGCAAAACTGCATATGGAGCTGGCAACACTTGCAGTTCGGGCAACGAACACAAGGGGGGAGGTAAGGCTCCTTGTCATAGTTACTGTGACAAACAGGGAAGGAGAAGTAACGGTACAGCGGGCTGACGGTGGAAGCAATGTCACTAAGACGAACGACACGTTGTGTAGATGAATTGTGAGGATTTTCCACGCCAGTGGGTGCCGCGACCACCTCCTCACCTCCTTGCTTGGGTTGCGCCATGAAATCCTTCTCGTGGCAGGCTGCTTTCAGCATGTCTAGAAAGAGAGCTGCCACACGCCCAAATAGAAAGAAAAAAGGAAAAAAAATATCTTACAAAAAAAGTTAAACCAGAGTCATTTAATGCAGGGAAAGAAAGAAACAGCACCCAACCAGCGGTCCGGGGAAAAAAGCAACATGGACACACACACAGGGCTATGGCATGGTCTACGTTCTCGTCGTCTCCGTCGGCTTTGCCGCCTGAAAGGCCAAGAAAAGAAAAAGAACAAAAGGGACATATATATATATATATATATATATATATATATACAAACAAAAAAAGTCTGACAACACCTGAGAGAGAAAGAAGGAGACACCAAGACCCCTGAAAGAAAAGAAAAAAAAGGACAAAACGGAATATGAGGAAGATCTGGTTTTAATATGAAGTGTCCACTAATTCCAGCGACTTCATTCCCCCCTCCTCCATCCACCACCACCACCATCTTTTTTTTTTTTTGTATTATTCTCTTCCCACCTTCCCTCTTCTTCCCCCATCCCGGGCCTTCCTTCCTCGAGCCACCCGTCGGCCACCGTTAAGTACCCACGGCAAGAGAAGCGTCCCAACACACGAGGAGAACAGCGATTATTTATGTGGACAACCGCCCAGAATTACTCCTGATGGCAGCAATGCGTCGGGCACGCACATTTCAAAAGAGAGGAGAGGGACAACAAACAAAAAAGAGTAATTTCACAACAAAATTCTCTTCCATTTCCAGCTACCCCGCGGCGCACAAAAGACTCATTCTCTTTTTGTTTTTGTATTACCCCTCCTCTTATTTTTCCACCTCATACTTCCTCCCCCACCTACCCACCCCTTCCTTCACATTCCGCTACCGAATATGTGTGTTGTTTTTCTGTCACCATGACTTTGTGTACGTACATCGTTGCTGTCTTATTTTTATAAGTCGTTTATTTATTTGGTTCCCCCCCCCCCCCTTTTTTTTTTTTTTTTAGATCTTTTCCACCGTGAGTTTTCCGTCCTGCTGTTCTCGTTCCTGTTCTTCTGTAAGCGGCCGCTGAAGTAGAAAAAAGGCACATCTATAAACCAGTTGCTTCATGCTTCGATTATTGTTTGTGTATGTTGTGTCAATAAACTCCGGTTGGCGAAGAAGAACAAATCCGATGCGCTGCGCCACTGTGAGCACCTCCCCTAATGAAAGCTCAATTGACATGTCATCTGAGGAATCCGCAAAGTGGTACAGAAGTGGTCCAACATTCACCCAGTACCCTCCTGGTACAAGAAGGTTGTAAATGATTTCTATGTACTCCACAATGTTGTGAGCCGTGTCAATAAAAAAGCAGGTCGCCACAGCATTCCAACTCTTGCGTTGGTGCTCCTTGGTGTAAACCTCCGTGAAATCACCCGCCACCATTGAGAGTTCACCAAAGAAATGCTGCTCCTCCCCATTAAGGCCGTCAATAGCCTCAAAGGCACACAAATCGGGAATGCGCACATCCACAAACTGATCCTCTCGGTTCACAAGATTACTAGTGTTGTCAACGTAGGGGTAGATGGTGTGCTGACAGGAGGACACAACGTGATTTTGAATGTAGTGCCCCGCAATAAGCATGTGGTAACTGAACTCATTTGCCTGTGCAGCAAAACCACGCAAAGCCAGCTCGACAGAAAGACGGCATAAACCAGCACCGGGAACAAGAATTTTCACGTCCGCTCGTGCCGCGCGGTCGGGGTAGGAATTCTCCAGTGTGGTAAGAACGGGCATATAAACAGAGTTCCTTTCAGGGGCGCCCTCTGCGGACCAATCCCGCACAAACTGACGGAGTGTTGTAAACACCTTGTCAATATCTAGCGGGGTGGGCTCCGGGACATCCTCAGGCCGAACAGTGGTTCCCTTAGGCCAGTAGGTATCAAAGAGTTCCGAGGAGACGTTACAAATAGATTCAAAAAAGCAACTGTTAGTCTCAATGCACTCAAGGTACTTGCTGAACATACGTTCCAAGTCAATGCATAGGGTTTGCTTATGCTGTTGATGAAACTTCATAAAGTTATTTAAACGCATATCTCGAACACCCATCGCCTGCTTTCTGTAGGAGCGGAACGCATTAACGGTGCGTAGGAAGCTAATGTGGTCTTCGTGCATGTCGTCATTTTCACAAGGCGACAGCAGCGGCCAATGAAGGTTGCCATCGTGTTGAGGAATAAAGTTGGGATCCAGCTCGGCCCCAAGCGGGTACGGCGGCGGCGCCAACGGATGGACATCTTGTGGGGAAGTCATCCTTCTCTCTGCGTGCGCCCGGCAAACTCAAGAGAAAAAAAGCCCACAACAGTTGGTAAGACACACACACAACAAAAACAACAACAATAAAAATAACAGCCGCATGAACACCCGCAAGACCCACAGCCGTTGCAATGGTCGCACAAAATAGGGGGGAAAGGTGCGCATGGAGACCCACCCCTTTCCACGCTGACCAAATATTTCTTCTCCTCTCCTCTCCCTTTATTCCTTCCCCCCAAATGAAGCCAAGAATGGAACACCAGAGCCTCAATCACGTCAACACACCCCATTCGCGGAGGTTCACGTAGTCCTCAATTTCCCGTTTCAGTTCGTAGAGCGCCTTGTGAAGAACGTCAAACAAGGCAATGAGGGTCCTCCAGGGACCTTCCTGCGCGGCGAACCAGCGCTGCATCTCCTGACGCAATTCTTCCGATATACGAGTGGCATTGGATTGACACCATCCTCTTGCTGCTTCGGTTATCTCCTCCACACGCTTCAACAGACCGTACAAACTATGGTATTCCTTGTGAAGAACGACATAATTACCGTGTGCCGCAGCAAGTTGCGATGCGTTGATAATTGGCATGGGCTTTAGCCTCTGCGACGCACCAGAACCCACCGCGGTGTGTGCGCACTTTCGCTGCGCCAGCGCCTCCTTTGCCGCTGACGACAAGACCCACCGCCGTTCGGTGAGGTCACCATCACACCATCGAATGCCGCACTGATCCATGTGGGTGAAAAGTGTCAGTGCTGCCCCCTGCGCTGTTTCCTCCGCTTTTCGTCCCAGAGTGCCCTCATCGCCCTCCGCATCCTCTGAATCATCTTCCTCTTCTCGCTTTCTTTTGAAGCTTCCCAGTCCGGCCATGATGCCCTTTGAGCAGACCGCCAACATCACGTCCCGATCTGCATATATAGCAAAGCGATCCAAAACGGCTTTATTGTGTGCAACCTTTGGAAGTGCCAGATTCGCCACCTGCTGTTTCACCGCCTTGGAGTTGTAGTGTTCAATGTCTATGATTTCATAACCAACGTCCAAGAGCTCCCGCTGCCCACGGTGATTCAACACCGTAAGAGTGCTCAGCACAGCATTCAGCGCGTCACCGTCCTCAGTCGCAAAAGAGCGGCGAAGCTCTTTTTGATCTCTGGGTGCCGGTGCCAAGAGGTGTGCCACTTTCATCGCCATGGAGCGATGCTGCTGCATGACTTCAGAGAGCGTGGCGGTTCTTCTGGAGGCTTCAGTAAGAGGCGGTGGATTAGTTTCCTCCGTTACGCTTGTGTTTGGTGGGCTCTTCTCCTCCGGCTGCACCGTCATCCTTTTCACAGCATCAAAACGAGATATTTCTGCTTTCCCATTAGCACCAGTCTTTTGGTGTCTGTACGAGCACAAGCGTCCTGCATGACGGGTGCAGTGCCACTCAACTCCCCCTCTCGCGTCGCGGAAGACAACTATTTCATCGTTTATTCGATTGAGTGTCACGGCACCGCCACGGATGGCATCAATGAGGTCTGCAGGAAGTGTGCCTGCTGCGACAGGCTTCATCCGCGGGTTAGCCCTAATGTTTGTGTTGGCTGAGCCAATCAATTGTGCGTGTGTGCGGGCCCACAGACGCTAAAAGAAGAATTGGCTCGGAAAAAAAAAAAAAAAAAGAGGCAAAAACAAAGCAGAGAAGCCGGCCACCCCACTCCTAGCACCCAAAACGCGGGGAACATCACTAACACGACTCTTCAGGAATAATATACTAATAAGTTTATAATTGGAAATCATAAAAAAGTGGAATAATCAAAAAAAAAAAAAACATGCCATGCGCTCTTTCTCCCTCTCCTTCTCTTTCTCATTCTTTCACTACCCGTCGTGGCCCTCTCTGTCCAACTTATTTACTAGACGCCGCCTAGGGTCATCTTCCTCGCCAAGCAAGGCGTTCCTCCAGCGCACAAGAGACCCAGGCGCCACTTCCTTCAAGACACGCCTCACTATGGCGCAGGATTTTTCGGCAACCAAAAAAAGAGTTTGCGCCACATTCATTTGTATTTCTTCATCTGAACTCGCGGCATGTACAGAGACGGAACGAATCATATCTTCTGTGGCAATATCAAGCACCTCCGTGAGATATCCCACGAGAAACAAGACGCGCTTAATAATCTTCTTGTCACATCCATCCAGAGACTCGCTCCTTAACACTCTGGTGATAACTTCTATTCCCCCTGCTTTCTTGAATAGAAGGGCATTCGGAGAATATTCACGGCAAAGACAACTGCAGCTGTGCAGGAGAGCGGCGAACACGGCGGGAGCCTTTTCCTCCCTCAGCAATGGAATCAACACCTCCTCCCACTGTGCTTCCTCAAAACACTTTTGCACTCTTTCGTTCAGCTGCGCGGCGTGAGCAATGACCATCGCTGCGCCCTGACGAACCGGCTCGCTTTCCGCCGTCAGTTTTCCTCTGCGCAGCAAATCCAGCATTATGCGGTGGCCATTCATGAGCGAGAACTCAACAGCCCAATTGATGTCTTCCACTAAGTCGCTCAGCTCCTCCAAGGCCGCGGCACAATCGTCTTCCGTGACGCCATCGCGTGCGACCGTCTCCAAAAGACGTTTGATCTGCCGCTCCGGTGCCTCAACAGACGCCAGTGCCTCCTTCAGCCACTGCAGCTCCTCCGGATTACGACGCGGGAGTTGTTCGCGATCGCCAGTCCCCGATCCGTTGCTGAGCGACGTGCAGAAGTTCAGCAGCGCCGTGTTCATGGACGGATCGTTCGACATTTTTCTTTTTTTTTTTCTTGGAAGGGGCTTCTCACGCCTCTCTTCTTCTTTCTCCTCCTTTTCCTCGCCACACACACAAAAAAAGAAAAAAGAAAAAAAAAAGCGATTTGGATCCCACGCCTCGCATTGCCAGGAATGGCATGGCAAGGGAGAACGAAAAAAGACACTCAGCGGCTGACAAAAACCGCCCAAGAAGAAAATCAACCGCCAGAAAAAATACGACAAGAAAAAAAAGGAAACGGACACATTGCTCACAAAAAAAAAGGTAAAAAAGTAAAAACGATATCATTACTTGCACGTGAAGCTTCTAACGCAGAGGCATAAAAAGGCAAAAACACAAAACTCGCTGCTTACTCGCCCTGCGAATCACCGTGTTTATTTGTGTTCAGCTTCTCCTCCTTCTGTGTGAGGAGTGCAAACAGCTTTGGATGGGCATCCACGGCATTGTCATTCCGTTGCTCCCCTGCCTCCATTTGGGGCTTGGTTGCACCATTCTCCATGCCGCCCCCCAACTGCAACGCAGCCGACTGCCGTACCTGCTGTATAAGCTGAGAGACCGAAGCACGAAGTGCCGCGTTTTCACGCCGCATGGCGGCTACAAGAACCCCCCGTCGTTCGTAGTCCTCTTGGAGAGAAACAAACCTCTCGCGCAGCGTGTCTAGCTCCATCTCCACCCCGCGAAGCTTGCGGATGAGTGACCAAAAACTTGTCGGGTCGTCTTCGTCCGTGAAAACCGTTCCTGGCGTTCCAACACCTGTTGACTCCTCCCTGTTCTTGACAGGTGAGACTGCACCAGCCGTGCAAAGGCGCCCAAAAAGAATCTCGCAGCGTCGCTTGAAAATAAGAAGTTCATCCTCCTGCTGCTCCACTTTCCCCTGCAGCTCAACAATTGTCTCTTCCTTGCGATCCAATTCTTCCTGATGCACACGGCTGTGTCGCTGGTACGCTAGCAGCTGTGCCCGGAGTGCGATTTCACCACTCGTGGCAGGCTCCGTCCATTTTACCGTCAGCAGATCAACCCGGTCGGAGAGCGCAAGAACCTTTTCCCGCAGGTAATTGTTCTCTTTCCGGAAGAGGCGGAGCGAGTCAATTTCAGCCTGCTTCCTAATGAGCTCCTGCCGCAGCATTTCGACGCTGGCCTGCGTGGCATTCTCGTTCTCCCGCTCCACCAACGACGACGATTCCAACATCATTACTAGAAGAAAAAAAAACAAGCAAACTGAGAGTCAAAGAAAGAGAAAAGCGGAGTGCAGTACACGCCAAACGCACAAAAGCATAAATATATACACATGGGGAAGAAAAAGAAGACGGCAACAAAAAAAAAAAGCAATATTTTCGTAGCAAAAACCAAAAGCAGTCAATAAGCCGAATTCAGAGCAAAAAGGAAAGGTGTAGTGGCATCTAAAATGCCTGGTTCCACTAAGCAGAGAACCCCCCTTCCGTCACGATCACCGATACCATGCTGATCTTTCCGCAACGATTCTTGCCGACTCCTCCCGTTGATCGCGAGCGGCTTGTTCTCGCTCCAGCCGTTCCGATTCCTGCTTTTGCTCCGCAGCTGCCCTCGCCTTTTTGCGTTCCTCCACAACACGACGATGTTCCTCCTCGCGTTCCCTCTCCCGCAACAACTCGCGGGCACGCTCCTCCTCTTCTTCCTTCCTGCGCCGTTCCGCCGCTGCGCCGCGTCGTTTTTCCCGTGCTGTTTCAATTGCCTGAATAATCTCCTGAGAAATACCCGGCGGCGCGCTAACTGCAAGGGTAAAGGGGCAAGATGAAATGAGTGCCGTTTCGGAAATGGACGGTAAAGCTGTTGCTGTGAGGATCCACGGCCGGTTCTCACCAAAGAGATGGTACGTTAAACCGTCACTAATCGTCACGGGCACTTTGTTCCCCATCAGTTGGCGGTACAACTTCCTTAGCACAGCAACAACCTCACTCTTCATGGGGGTCATCAACACCACGTCCTCAACCGGTTCAAAAGGCTCCCCGTGCACG